GCTCTTAAAGAGGCAGAGGGGTCAGAACGGCCGTGCAGTGACAGTGTATATGCAGGTCCTGGCGGCCGAACTGTAACACCTCGGCTGCGCTCACTGCCCAAAAAACCTGGCGGGCCGGATCAGACTCCTCCACGGGCCGCATGTGGCCCGCGGGCCGTAGTTTGAAGACCCCTGCCTTAATCAATATAGATTTTTTAAAAATAAAACATCTTCTGTGCTTGAGTGAAACGAACTATAAAATAGCATAATGTTGCAAATTAACAACAATACAATCCCTTTGTTTTCATGCAGAATTGAGGAGTGAGACACTGATTTTTATGTGGCATTGACCAAATGAGAAAAGGTTACATGTTTACATCTTAATGTTGACCATAATGGGCATATATGAACCTATATGTACATGTAATGTTTATAAGAAGAATATATAATTTATTTATTTTTGTAGAACCCTTTACCTAAGACAATAAAAATCAATTTAAAAATTGTGTAAAATGCTTTTCAAGTAAAAACTGCCGCAAAAAATGACATTTTTCCCACTCTGAAGAATTTTTTTTTTTTTGAGGGGGTTATTTTAAGATTTAAAACATAGATTAAAGAATTACAACAATTATGCTTTTTGTTTCCTAGATAATAATTTTTCCTTTATGATTACATAAAATGTTTCCTTTTTTCAGAAGGATACCTACTATTTCACAATTTTCATTTATTTTTTGTGCTCTCATATTTTCCCACTATTTGTTTCTAAGCTCGGCATTTCTTTTTCTTTTTTTTCTTCTTTTAATATATATTTATTGATCTTTTTTCAGAGAGGAAGGGAGAGAGATAAAGAGCTAGAAACGTCGATGAGAGAGAAACATCGACCAGCTGCCTCTTGCACACCCCCTACTGGGGATGTGCCAGCAACCAAGGTACATGCCCTTGACTGGAATTGAACCCAGGACCTTTCATCCCGCAGACCGATGCTCTACCACTGAGCCAAACTGGTTTCGGCTAAGCTCGGCATTTCAAAAAGACTTGAAAATAGTCTCATTATTCTGATGGGCAATTCCTTTAGTTTCCCAGCTTTGAACTCCCTATATGCATTCTTTCTCAAAGGAATTTAGGGCTCTCCGTGTTGGAATATTTATAGTTGACTCCAGTGAATTCCTGTCCACAGAGAACATTCCCTCACATATTGAGACGTGTGGCAAGCACCGTCTTTCACTTGGGTGGGAACTGGATGCTAACGGGATGGGACAGGACACAGAATGACCAGGGGGATGTTTTAGCAAGGAGCACCCCTCCACAACCTCAACACATGGGAAACCCAGGCCCAGGGAAACGATTCCTTAGGAAACACCATCCCATCATTTCCTGGGCCCTGAGGGGGTCTAGACAGTCAACCAGACCACGCTTTCCCGTCGTCCTCCCCACAGATAGATACCATGAATGCACGCACCTAAAATATGAACTTGGTGATCTAGATTTTTATGATTTGTGTTTGACCTTTCATTTCATGTGACTTCAGATGGAACTTAGAGGCTTGAGTCAGCTTTTCTTTTTATCTAACAGCCTAGTAATATCTTTGAAAGATTTCCTTAGTAGAGAATAAAATGTTTAAACACACCAGTTTAAGTAAATAATTGTTACTTATGATTTTTATTTATGCAGTTATTATAATTATTATTTTTAGTGTGCTCTATTCCCTCTAGAACCAGTTCAAAGTTATTGTTATTATTAAGTAATAATTATTAAGCATGTAGCATTGTTCTAAATGCTTTACATGTATTAATTCATTAAATCCCCAAATCCATATTACTATCTTTCTCTTTAAAAGGTGTGATTTAGGAGAATCCAAGATGGCTGCTCGGGTAGGCAACTAGCCGCAGCCGCACACAACAATTTCAACAAAATACAACTAAAATATAAAATGGACATTACCCAGAACTACAGGAAAGTTGACTGACTGGAAATTCTACAACAAAAAGCAAGGAGAAAACCAGAAGGAAGCACGGAGGAGCTGTAAAAGCCCAAGGTACGGAGACACGCGGCGCGCGCAGTGAAGACAGAGCCGGAGAGGAGGGAGGCCGAGTGCCTGGCTGGCGGTCCCAAGTGGGAAGGAGAGAAAAGCTCCGACTGTGCTGGGCCCAGCTCCAACTGCTCTGAACTCCAATTCTAGGACAGACCCCGGGGACCCAGGCTCATCCATAGGGAGCCGGGCTGTAAGGCGAGACTCCAGGGAAGCGGCAAAAGGAGGTCCCGGAGGCGCGCACACTGCGCGCAGAGAAGGGCCGGCCGGCTGTGCTGCGGGATTGCCCTGATGGGAAGGAGACAGGGGCTCCAGACTGCTCTGAACGCCACCTCCAATCCCACTACCAACTGAACTGAACCCCAATACCGGACTCATTGGGGGAGAGCATAGACAGTTTGGTAGCAGGCGAAAATCGAGGGCACCTTTCTCTCAGAGGTGCTCGCAACAAGTACTGAAGGACCCTGAGTCTCAGGAGTCGCATAGGGTGGGGCTGACGGAAGCCAAGGCTGTAGGCTCCACCCTGAAACCCCGCCCCATCAGGAAAGCTGCCTGCGAAAATGCCTAAACCAAATAGATCACAACGAAAGAAATGGAGGACAAAAAGCGACTGGATATAGAGTTCAAAACCACACTTATAAGGTTGTTCAAGAATCTCCTAGAAAAGGCCGATAAAATAAACAAGACCTATGAGGATATGAAAAGGGATCAACTAGAAATAATAAGGGATCAACAAGAAATAAAGAATACATTGTCTGAAATAAAAAATATTTTATGGAGTCCTAAAAACAGAATGGAAGATCGCAAGAATCAAGTCAAAGATTTGGAACATAAAGAGCCAGAAGACACTCCTCCGCAGACGCAAGAAGGCCAGAGAATCCAGAAAGTCGAAGATAATGTAAGAAACCTCTGGGACAACTTCAAGCGAACCAACATCAGAATTATGGGGGTCCCAGAAGATGAGAGAGAGCAAGATATCGAAAACATACTGAAAGAAATAGTGACAGAAAACTTTCCCCACCTGGTGAAAGAATTAGACTTACAAGTCCAGGAAGCGCACAGAACTCCAAACAAAAGGAATCCAAAGAGGACCACACCAAGACAAATCATAATTAAGATTCCAAGAGCAAAAGACAAAGAGAGAATATTAAAAGAAGCAAGAGCAAAGAATGTAGTTACCTATAAAGGAGCACCTATACGATTGTCAACTGATTTCTCAACAGAAACCATGCAGGCCAGATGGGAATGGCAAGAAATATTCAAGGTGATGAATAGCAAGAACCTACAGCCAAAGATAATCTATCCAGCAAAGCTATCACTCAGATTTGAAGGTCAGATAAAGAGCTTCACTAATAAAAAAAAAAGCTAAAGGAGTTCATCACCACCAAACCAGAATTATATGAATTGCTGAAGGGGGTTCTTTCAAAAGAGAAAGTAAATAAAGATAAAAATTATGAACAACAAATACGTAACTATCAACAAGTGAATCTAAAAACCAAGGAAACTAAAACAAAAAAATCTGAGGAACAATATTAACTGTTGAATATAATAGAATCAGAGGTATGGAAGGGGAGTGAACTGTTTATTCTTGGGGAAAAGGGGAGAGGGGAATGTGGGAAGAGACTGAACATAAACTGTGCACCTATGGATGAGGACAATGGGGGGTGGGGAAAGGGCAGAGGGTGGGGTGAGAAGGGGGGGAAAGGAACATTTGTAATAATATGAACAATAAAAAGTTATTTAAAAATAAATAAATAAATAAATAAAATTCAGTGAGATTTTGTTGGCTAGCTCAAAAATACACAGTATCTACATGAAAGAACTGAATTTCAAATGAAAATATTTCTAATTATTATACAATTACAATACAGTACAGTCTACTATTAGTGCTTAAAATAATTAATTGTTTCAATACAATGGAAATGAGCCTTGATTGGTGTGGCTCAGTGTTAGAGAGTTGGCCTATGCACCAAAGGGTTGTGGGTTCAATTCCTGGTCAAGGGCACATACCTGGGTTGCAGGTTCATTTCCTTAAGAGGGCACATGCTGAAGGCAACCAATTGATGTGTCCGTCTCACTTCAATGTTTCTCTCCCTCTCTATTCCCCTCCCTCCCACTCTTTCTAAAAATCAATGGGAAAAATATTCTTGGGTGAGGATACAAAAAATAAATAAATAAATAAACAAACAATGGAAATGAAATTATACAAATCATAAAAATACCACAAAATTATATAATGACATGCATCTAGCCAGTAGAGCTAGTATTAGGAAACTCTCTGAAATATAAGGAAAGTTTGCTTGCTTTCTTCCTTGCTCCTCTTCAGGGGGAATGGAGATACATGTTCGCTATTGTCCCTTCCCAACAGAGGTCCCCAAGATGGGGTATGTTTGTAATGGTGCAAGCAACCCAAGAAAGCCAGCAGCATGGATCAGTAGGAAAGAAAAGAGAGCAATGTTTCCCTAGGCCTTTGATTCCCAGAGGGAAAAGCCATGGGTGAGGAAAGAGGGGTGAGAGGTTGGCATGGCTGGCTCATGTTCCTGCTGGGTGCACCCTGCTCCTTCCATCCTTACCCAATTGTCCTCACAAACTCAGCTGTGCCAACAAAGCAAACAACAAACTAACTGTCAAACACCATCTATTACAAGAGACTAAAGGCAGGGCAAAGACATCTTAAAATGAAGAGTTCTGACTCCATCCTCCGAAGGTTGGTGGGCAGATACCGTCTTACTCAGAAGTCTTTTAATAATAAGATTAAATTTGGTTATTTCACTGGAATGTTCCAGCTAGTTCTTAAAAAGAGTCATGATGTTATTTCAAGTCATCCCCATATGTTACTAGGATAGTGATTTATAATCATGGTTTTGAAATATCTTTTAATATCTCCTGTTATCTCAAAAGATGCCATAAAGTTTTCAAATTTCCCCCAAAGAAAAATGTTGAACATCCCTAGAGGGCTGTAAAAATAATCCTTCCATTTTTCTCTTTCCAGGATTACACAATGCCAAGCTACAAACTCATTTATTTTAATATGAGGGGGAGAGCAGAAATTATTCGTTACATATTTGCATATTTGGACATAAAGTATGAAGACCACAGAATAGAACAAGCTGATTGGCCTAAAATCAAACCAAGTAAGTAGCACAAATAATAGTTGATGAAAATGTGGGGAAAATATGTTTCCAGAATGTTTTCTTTCTTCAGGGAAATGAAAAACTAAAGAATTTTAATCTCACATAGCTTTATATTGAAAAAGAGCAGTGCAGGCAAGCTAAATAAATGCTATGTGACCCAGAAAACTTCGTATTCAAGGAGAAAATACTAACACCACAGAAAGAGAATATAAAGATAAACCAATATGAAATTTTGTCAGAAGAACTGAAATGAGGATACTGAAATCACTTTTTTTTTTTTTTTAATCCTCACCTAAGGATAGTTTTCATTTATTTTTAGAGACAGTGGAAGAAGGAGGGCAAGACAGAGAGAAATATTGATGTGAGAGAAACACATTGTTTGCCTCATGCACCAACCCCAACCAGGGCCCAGGCAACCGAGACATGTACCCTTGAGTGGAATCGAACTTGGTGCCTTTGATCTGCAGACTGACACTCTGTCCACTGAGCCAAACTGGCTAGAGCTGAAGTCAATATTCTTGATAATTAGAATTGCTATGGATCTCTATGTTTTAACAAGGGATCAGATGTGCCCCACTAACAGAAAACGAAACTCAAAATAGCTTAAGTAATAAGAATAATGACTTGTATCACAAAACTGAAAATCCAGAAGCAGAACAGGCTTCCAAGGATGGCTTTATTCATTTCCTCCTTAGCGTGTTGGCTGTATCATGTGGCTGGTAGCCATGTGCTTACTGCAATTCCAGCCGCACAGCCTTGAACAGCAATGCTCAGAGGATATATTAGTAGGGGAAAGAGTAAGAGAGAACCGCTTCCTTAAGTGTTCCCAGAAGAATAAAGAAAAACTTTCCCAAAAGACCTCCGCAAATTTCCCATGTCTTGCTGGCACAAATTGAGTCACATGTCCTTTTTTGAATCAGTCACTGGCCAAGAGGATGATGGGAAGACCCTGAGAACCATCCAGCCTCCCTCTGACATTAGGGATGGAATCAATTTTTATGAGGCATGTGACTATATAAGAGAGGGGTGGATATGAAAACAAAACTGGGATCTGTTTGATCAGAGAAAAGAGCAAATAGACAAATCGGTCAAGTAACCCAATCAAAACATGCTACTTAGCATTGAGGACAATGGGGAAGAATTGAAAATATAACATTTAACAAACAACAGTGTGTGGTTCTAAATAAGTAAGGCATCCTATAGATGTTATCTAGAAATATCAAGTACTAATTATGTCTAAAGTGGATTATTATAAAATCACAGAAAGATGAAGTTGAAGAAAATAACTCTTGGGTCCTTGAAGACTGTCTGGCACTTGATAGATACTTTACAGCCTCTATTTCATTTAATTTATCTAGCATGCCTACATGGGATATATTATTTTAATTCCATAATTGGGATAACTGAAACACACAGAGTTTAGGTAATTTTTCCAAGTTCACAGCCCTAGCAATTTTCAAACATAGGTCAATTTAATATGACAAACCAAGTTTCTTGTACTAGATAATGTTAACTACAATAACACTATGATAAATGGTATGTGAACATTAAGTATTGCTACGTGCTTTTTGGAATTATGAGTTTCTTAAAAGCTACTCTTTTTGTTATCAGAGAATTCTTCTCCAGTGGGTTAGAATATTTTGTTTTCTGTTTTTATGAAAATTTGCCATTAATGTCCAAACATTTCTTCCAATATCAGGATTTTTATATTGGGTTTCTATGGACATAAAATTGGTGAAAATTAACTCCATCACTAAGTCAAGAGGTAGAGATAATACATTTAAAATGCCACCTTTTAGATATGTTTTTAGATTTTTCTTTTAGTGCCTCATATCCTATTTTGCCTTAACTTTGCATTGTTAATGAAAATGGAATTGCTGCATTTTCTTAATATTTTAAAATATATTTTTATAAAGTTGAAAAGGATCTTAAAGTTTATGATAGTTAGGATATAGTTTCAAGTAACAGACACTGAACTCAAAAGTGGTTTAAAGAGGATAAAATTTTATAACATTTGCATAAAATCCCACAAATATACACTAAAACTCTTTTTAATATATATGGGAAAGCAATTAAAATAATAAAATAGTTATAATTATATAGTAGAACTATTTTTATTTATCTTCATTTTAGAAGTTTTTTATAATATATATTGCTTTCTGACAAAAACATAATAGATTTGATAACAATAAAGTAGGGCTTACAGGTTAAATATTAATATGCTATCTGCTATGAGTCTGTCCTATGTTTGTATGCTTGCTGCCTTACTATATACTTCAAATAGTCCCTCATCAAAAAGAGAATTTTGCTAAATTCCTTACCATAATTCACATGTAAGTCAAGCTTCCATATTATTCAGACTATGATTTTATTTTTATTTTTTATTTTTTATATATTTTATTGATTATTTTTTTACAGAGAAGAACAGAGAGGAATAAAGAGTTAGAGACATTGATGAGAGAGAAACACCTGTCAGCTGCCTCCTGCACACCCCCTACTGGGGATGTGCCCGTGACCAAGGTATATGCCCTTGAGCAGAATCAAACCTGGGACCCTTCAGTTCACAGGCTAACACTCTATCCATTGAGCCAAACTGGTTAGGACTCAGACTATGGTGTTAAAGAATAATTATGTGATCGCTGATTAAGGCCTCAAAAATTAATGAAGCTTTAAAAGAAAGATTTTTTTTAATTAAGTAGTAAGCATATGTAAGTATATGAGATAATGCATGTATAATATAGAGTTTTACTGTACACTTGGGTTTTCAACCTGATTCTGTCATCAACTGTATAGAAGGTCTTCTAACAAACAACTCTTAAAAAACAAAACAAAACAAAAAAAACAGCCGAAACCGTTTTTGGCTCAGTGATAGAGCTTCAGTCTGCGGACTGAAAGGTCCCAGGTTCGATTACGGTCAAGGGCATGTATGTTGGTTGTGGGCACATCCCCAGTGGGGGATGTGCAGGAGGCGGCTGGTCGATGTTTCTCTCTCATCGACGTTTCTGGCTCTCTATCTCTCTTCCTTCCTCTCTGTAAAAATCAATAAAATATATTAAAAAAAAAAAAAAAAAAACCCTTGTAAAATGTAAAGATTCCACTAGAGTAGGGGTGTCGAACTCAATCAGAGAAGGGGCCAAAATCTAAAATCCAGCCTAAATCGCGTGCCGAATGGTTTACTGACAGTCATAAACTGTAATTGTGATGGAAACGCAGCGGAGTGCAGTGATGACAGCGCGGTGCGGGCCACATTGCAAGGCCTGGCGGGACAGATTTGGCCCACGGGCCTTGTGTTTGACACATGTGCACTAGAGGATGCTTAATAAATATTCAATAATTCCATGACTTTAAGATCATGTCTTATTTCCATAATTATCAGTAAAAGAAAGGAGTATTGTAATAGATTTTATTATGGAAGTTGATTCTTTTCTCTTTTTATTTGAAGCTCTTCCATTTCGCAAAATCCCCATTTTGGAAGTTGATGGACTTAATCTTCACCAGAGCCTAGCAATAGCAAGATACTTGACCAAAAATACAGGTAGTATATGTGTTGTGTTTTAAGATTTTAGATGACTGAAAAAAATATATATATATTATATTTATTAAACAAGTTTTTTTTAACCAAAAATATGTGTATATAATATATATATATATATATATATATATATATATATATATATATATATATATATACTTTATGTTGCACTAACACATAGTTCAACAAATGAAATTCTTTGGAAGTTTAGAAGAGATGGAGATTCCTTCTGACTATGAAGATTTGACTTTGAAGTGAAAATGACATTTGAGTTGAGCTTGAAGGATCTCAAGTTTTGGGCTTGATCCCCAGTACCTCAATGATTCTCTCTTATCATTGATGTTTCCATCTCTCTCTCCCTCTCCCTTCCTCTCTGAAATCAATATACAATATTAATAAAATAAAATAAAAACCTGTCTGCAAAAATGAAAACAATTACTTTTGAAAAATAAATGAAAATTAATATACTCGTTATTTATTGTAGTATTGCTTGCATTAGCAAAAGATTGAAAGCAAACCTAATCAGCTCAGGGTAAATAAAATATGGCACTTCTACTAACGGAAATTCCATGGAGCTGAAAAAAGAGCAAGAACGCCTTAAGTGATGTGTAAGGAGAAATCATTAGGACAAATGGGGGAGGCACATAAAGAAACAATGAAAGAATATAAAAGAAATTAATAAAACAAATTAATAAAAAAAATATGGTAGTTGGTAACAGCAAAATAAGATGGATGGGGCAAGAGTGCAAGTTAGTCTTCACTGAGTAGTTTTTTGTTGTTTTGAATTTTTGAGCTATATGAATCTATTGCCTACTAAAAAAGTTAATGTTGTACATATTTGTGGGCCTCTATTTTACAGATTTGGCTGGAAAAACAGAACTGGAACAATGTCAAGTTGATGCTATTGTGGACACATTGGATGATTTCATGTCACTATTTCCTTGGGCTGAGAAAAAACAAGATATAAAAGTAATGTGATCAGTTTGCTATTACTGTTATTAATCAGATCCACTTTGTCAAACATGATGTTAGGTGCTTTTTTAAGTCCCCTTTTATCAGAGTTAGACAAACTTATAGCTTAAAAATGTCAAATTATATTAAAAAGTTTCAAACAAAGTACAGTGATTCTCTGCCCTACCCTTTTCACAATAACCTCTAAGAAACAACACTTTTTTTTAATCCTTTTAGATGTTGCTCTAGGATTTTCACATCTCCATATATCTATAGGATATATAAAAGTGGCTTACTTTAATTGACTTATTTTAGATTCTGTGGACATCTTAGTATAGTAATAAGAATTTAACTCTTAGCCCAACCGGCGTGCTTCATGGCTGAGTGTCAACTTATAAACCACATGGTCACCATTCAAATCCAGATCAAGTCACAGGCCTGGGTTTCAGGCTTGATCCCAGTGTGGGGCGTACAGGAAGCAGCCAGTCAATGATTCTCTCTCATCACTGATGTTTCTATCTCTTTCTCCCTCTCCCTCTCTGAAATCAATAAAAATATATATTTTTTAAATAATTTCACTCTTACATAATCAACCTCTCTGCTTCCTGTAAACTTCCAATCTATATATATAAAAGCCTAATATGCTAATTGACCGTTTGACCATTCAACCAGTCACTATGATGTGCACTGACCACCAGGGGGCAGATGGTTAGCTTGACCAGTAGGTTAGCTTACTGCTGGGGTCCTGCTGATTGGGACTGGGCAAGACTGGCCAGACACAGTCCTGGAGCACTCCTGTGGTCCCTCCTCACCCCTGATCATGCATCTGTGTAATCCCTCAGCCTGGCCTGTATCCTCTTGCAATCTGGGACACCTGAGGGGATGTCAGAGAGCTAGTTTTTGCCTAATCCCCACAGGCCAGGCCAGGGATCACACTGGTGCACAAATCTGTGCACTGGGCCTCTAGTATAGTTATAATTTAAAAAATTATATCAGTATCTCCATGTAAACAAACAAAACTGTGCATGGTGGTATAGTTTTTTGAAAAATGTTTTTTTTTTCTTTTTTTTCTGTATATACCTTATTGATTTTACACAGAGAGGAATTGAGAGGGATAGAGAGTTAGAAACATCAATGAGAGAGAAACATCGACCAGCTGCCTCCAGCACCCTCCCCCACTGGGGATGTGCCCGCAACCAATGTACATGCCCTTGACCGGAATCGAACCCGGGACCCTTCAGTTCCCAGGCCAACGCTCTTCCACTGAGCCAAACCGGCTTCGGCTGAAAAATGTTTTTATTGATTTCAGAGAGGAAGGTAGAGTGAGAGAGAGATAGAAACATCAATGATGAGAAAGAATCATTGATTGGCCACCTCCTGCACTCCCCCTACTGGGGACTGAGCCCACAACCTGGGAATGTGCCCTGACCAGTAATGGAACAGTGAACCATGCTGGCTGGGCCATAGTACACTTTGATAATATTTCCTTTCTCACTTTTCCTCTTCAAAGTTAGTAATTGTCTTTTTTGCATTTGTTTTATTCTTGTTAAACCTTCCCATATTATTCTGTAACCTACCAATATAGTTTTCCACAGAGTCAGTGATATGATAATCTATTATTCTCATTATTTTCCTGTTGATATCTGGCCAGAGCCTCTGTAGAGCTGACTCGGTTTTCTGCACGGCTCTCATACTTCCCTTCACTGCCATCCCAGCGTTGTCTTTCTTTTGAGTTGGGGTCCTGTCTCTTGGATGCCATTCTCTGACTTTATTTCCTCCTTTGTTTATTTGGGGCACATACTCTGGTTCCAAAAGTGAAAATGAAGATTTGATGACAGGAGATATGACCGCAGATAGTATGGATATGTCCCTCTTTTGTGTCTCTGGTTTGGTTGCTCTAGACTAGGGGTGTCGAACTCAATCAGAGAAGGGGCCAAAATCTAAAATCCAGCCTAAATCGCGGGCCGAATGGTTTACTGAACAGTCATAAACTGTCATTGTGATGGAAACGCAGCGGAGTGCAGTGATGACAGCGCGGTGCGGGCCACATTGCAAGGCCTGGCGGGACGGATTTGGCCCGCAGGCCTTGTGTTTGACACATGTGCTCTAGACCGATGGTCGGCAAACTGAGGCTCACGAGCCACATGCAGCTCTTTGGCACCTTGAGTGTGGCTCTTCCACAAAATACCATGGCTTGGGTGAATCTATTTTGAAGAAGTGGCATTAGAATAAGTTTAAGTTTTAAAATTTTGGCTCTCAAAAGAAATTTCAATCGTTGTACTGTTGATATTTGGCTCTGTTGACTAATGAGTTTGCCGAACACTGCCCTAGCTACCCAGTGCCCAGTTGTCTCATCCTGAGATCTTTCTCATCTTGGATTCTTCATTTAATCCTCTTTAGGGCCTTGTTTTTGTGGAGCAATCTTCTAATAGCTTACTGAGCATAGGAAAAAGTTTGGGGCCTTAATTGTCTAAAAATGTTTTTATTTCATCTTGATACTTAATTAAAAATTTGACTGGCTATAGAATTCTGTATTGAAAGTAGTTTTTCTTTAGTATTTGAAAAACATTTAACTATGGTCTTCTAGCTGTTGAGAAGTCTGAATCCAACCTAATTACCGACCTTTTGTATGTGACTTTTTTTCCTCTAAAGCTTTTTGTTCCACATGCCAAAGACTTCACTGATTGGCAGTCTGTCAACTTATGGGCTTTCCCTTATATGTTTCTCTATTGGGTACCCTTCCGTGGCCATGTCACAGAGGAAAATGTTCTTTGTTTATGGTAAGGGTATCTTTTGTATTAGAATAACAATTCTCTTACCACCTACCTCAACAAAATATTTCACAGGATGCTACCCAAACACATGAATAAATTATATGAAGGGAGAATGTGTTTCAGAAATATTGCAAAGAGCTTCAGACTGTCTGATTAATAAGCAGAACCTGGCTAGTATACGATGAAACTGCATAGGTCTTGTGTATTTTATCCCCTAGTCTCCTTGTAGTGGATTGTACTGCTGCCATCTTGTGGTCAGATAAAATTTTCAACAGCAGAATATTGCAGTAAAGATGGATGATGAAAGTATAATAGTTCTCTTATTCCATGTGCTTTAAAAATCTATCAAATACACATAATTATAAATGTTTTAGCACTGTTTGCTGGTGATTCAATTTACAATTTTAAAAAATGAATTTAAATTTAATTTGAAGGACAAAAAATGTCTCTGGATATTGGTCACCCTGATAATCCTTGATCTTACCACTAGCATTTCTTTGGTTATGCAATGTGTGTTTCCATTTCCTCCTCTGGAGAACAGGGGCAGCGGTCAGATGGAGGATGAGCAGGCGTGAAGGGATGCTCATGGCCCATTTTCAATACTAAGTGGTTTCGGTAATGTGGACTTAAAAATAATGCTTTGGAGAAATACACCATCCTCTCTAATTCCTCTAAAAGCCATTGGATGGAATACCATAGCAATGACTTCTCAGGGTGGAGAAACACCTCATAGCTCCCTGGAGGAGCAGCAGGACAGTACAGAGTCCACCAAACAGAAGAGTGGCTGTCTAGGCTCTCTTAGAAAACACATTTTAAAAAGTGCACACCTGGGCCTCTCAGGCATGGCTGAAAACTTTTGGGGGAACTTGAGGGTCTGCTGAATCAAGTGATGAAGGCTTAGATCGGGATGTGTTGAGTTGTTGTAGTGCTGGGGTGTTGATCTGTGAGTGCCTTGGGTTGGGCCTGGATGAGGCTGGTTGACCTATTTGGAAATGTCTTTTGTGTGAAGTGTATCCTTGGGCATGTGGAGGTATTAGTGATTTGAGAAAATGCTAAGTAACTGATTTACTATCTGAAAAATTTGAAGTTCTGAAAGTTTAAGGACTCTTGCCAAAAAGAGGTTTTAAAGCTAACACCTTAATTTTAATGGAGAAAGGGGAGGACAAGCCCTTCCCACCCAGAACAGGTAATCCAATTCCAGCCAGCAGCTATCTTTAAACAATGTGTCCATTTACACTTGAATGGCTACACCTTTTGATAGCCTAAGGGCAAGTTTAAATTGCTTCTCAATTCCCAGGGCAGAAAAAAAAACAAGGTTTAAAATTATTAGATTTTAAAATTTATTCTTAGAAGTGTAAAAGTTTATTAATTAAAAAACAACAACAACAACAAAAAATGAGATTGAAAAACCTGATGAACAATAATAGCTGTTCATTGTAATAGAGTCGGCTATATGGGAGGAGAGTGGACTGACTGTTCTGGGTGGCGGGGGGGGGGGGGGGGGGGGGGGGGGGGGGGGGGGGGGGGGGGGGGGAGGAGTGGTGGAGGGGGGGAGAGACTGAACATAAACTGTGCACCTATGGATGAGGACAATGGGGGGTGGGGAGGGGGCGGAGGGTGGGGTGGGAACCTGGTGGAGGGGGGAAGAAATGAGGAACCTTTGTAATAATATGAACAATAAGATTGATTTAAAAAAAAATAATAAAAATAAATAAATAAATAAATAAATAAATAAAAAGTGCACACCTGGGAAAGTGCACACCTAGAATGTGTGATCAGAGTTCATCTTCTTTGTTATTTTGATGAGTATTATTTAAAATAACTTTAAAAAATACTAATGATTATCCTGTTTGGTTATTCATTAGACTAAGATGACCAAACACATAAAGAGAACCTGGGCTAAAGGAGAAGTCAATGGCACAGAGATAAGATTCTTATTTGGTACTGCATATACACAGTCATTGGTATACCTTACTGTGGACATGCACATTAGGGAAAGTAACAAAATTACCCAGGTGAGATTCAGGAGATTTAGGAAAGCTGTCCAGCAGTTACATCCCACTCTGTTTAACTCCCTCTGGTTTCTAACCATCTTTCCAACTGATGCTGAGCTGTGCTGAGCTACAGGAAGTGCCTGCCACCCAGCTCTGGGGCCCATTGTGTCAGCTCAGAAATTCTGTGTAAGAGACAGAAGAATTCACACTCTTTTATTTAAAACTATGGATATATTAACCACAAAGAGAGAATGTTATGTGCCAAAGTGATATAGACCAGTAAAGAATATAAATCAACATAATGATTAGATATCTACCTTTAATTTGTAAAATCTGGAAAATATATATAAATATGTAATAACTAGAGGCCTGGTGCACAAAATTTATGCACAGGTAGGGGGAGGCTCCCTCAGCCCAGCCTGCACCCTCTCACAATCTGGGACCGCTGGCTCCTAACTGCTCACTAGCCTGCCTGCCTGATCACCCTAACCCCTCTACTGCTTGCCTGCCTGCCGGATAGCTCCTAACTGTTCACTTACCTGCCTGATTGCCCCTAACCACCTCTGCCTCGGCCCCTGCCACTGCAGCTTTGTCCAAAAGGTTGTTCAGCTGTCTATTCTAATTAGCATATTATGCTTTTATTATTATAGATGCTTTTGCAAATTATATTCTACAAATATAAGGCATTATGTTACAGCAATCCATATTACTTAAGTTATGATTCCAGGAAGTAAATCAACAAATTGGTAAAGTAGTTATCCACTACCTGACTTACCTTAATAAAGGCTGGATTTTATTACAGGCATACCTCAGAGATATTGTGTATTTAGTCTCAGGCCACTGCAATAAAGTGAAAGCTCAATAAATAGAGTCACAAATATTTTGGTTTTCCAGCACATATAAAAATTACATTTATACTATACTATAGTCTATTAAATGTGCAATAGCATTATGTCTAAAAAAACAATGTATATACTATGATTAAAAAATACTTTGTTGCTAACCATCATCTGAGCAGTCAGTGAGTATAATCTTCTGTTGGTGGAGGGTCTTGCCTTGATATTGATGGCTGCTGACTGATCAGGGTAATGGTTATTGAAAGTCGGGTTGGCTGTGGCATTTTCTTACAATGAGACAGCAATGAACCCCGGCCGATGTGGCTCAGTTGGTTGAGTGTTGTCTTGTGCACCGAAAGGTCGCCAGTTCCATTCCTGGTCAGGGCACATACAGGGCACATACCCAGGTTGCAAGTTCCATTCCCAGGCAGTGTATGTATGGGAGGCAACCAATTCTCTCTCTCTCTCTCTCTCTCTCTCTCTCTCTCTCTCTCTCTCTCTCTCTCTCTCTCCAGTAAAAACATTTTTTTTAAATGAGAGCCAATAATGAAGTTTGCCACATCAATTGACTCTTCTCTTGAAGTTTTAGAGGCCATTGAAGGGTTATTAATTGGCCTAATTTCAATATTGTTGTGTCTCAGGGAAGAGGGAGGTCCCAGAAGAGGGAGAGAAACTGGGGAAGAGCTGGTTGGTGGAGCAGTCAGGACACACAACATTTATCAACTAAGCTTGCCATCTTATGTGGATGCAGATCAAGACTTTCCCAAACAAGCACAATAGTAACATCAAGGATCACTGATCACTTATCACCGTATCAAATACAATAATAATGAAAAAGTTTAAAATGTTGGGAGAATTACCAAATGTGACACAGAGACATGAAGTGAGCAAATACTGTTGGAAATAGGGCACCATAGGCTTATTCAACACAAGGCTGCTGTGAGTCTTCAATTTGTAAAAAAACATACTATTTGGGAAGAGCAATAAAGTATTGTGCAGCAGACAAGGTATGCCTGTGTAGATCATTTATGGATATTAATAAATTAAATACATTTTAAATAAAATTTTTTTACTTTGACTTACATTTCCTACCCAGTAAACAAACCAACCCAAATTTTCATATGTAAACAAATACTTCTCACCAAGAAATAGATCATAACTTATCTGGTCTTCAGAGATTCAAGTAAAAACACTAAGTTATTTTTTTTAATGCATATATATCTGTTAATTTTTTCTAAGATTCTTATTAGGTTTGTCATATTTCCTTATATAATGAAGCAAAAAAGGGGTACCTAGATTGTGGGTTTTGTAGATAATATTCAAGACAGACAAATCTCCTAATATACTGAGGCACAATATCAAGCCAACAAGAAAAAAAATCCATAAAGGCCCATGAGCATATGATTCATTATGGATTAGTTCTGTTAAGTGTGCAGGTGAAATGGAAGACTGTCAAACCGGAGAAATCTAGCCTTACAAAACAAAATTAATTTCAGTTATGTTATTTAAGTTAGAAGAGTGTGAGGCTAAGAAAATTGGAAAACTGGAGGCTAAGAAAATAGTAGAATCATTTCTATTAATAAAAATTAAGATAAAAACCATGAAAAGATTTATAGATGAAATATTTAGTCATCAAATGAAAGAAACTATAAGAACTGGTAACAAAAGTATTTTTTTTAATCCATGTGTAATAAAGGAATGACTTTGATCTATAGAGAATTAGATGCAAATCTCTGTAATGTCATACATTAAAAAATACTACCACGTAGCTACTTCTCTTCAACCTCATATGGAAAACTAAAGAAAGAAAAATCTACTTCCCCTGCAGATCATGCTATTTATTTTTCTTCCTATTTTCCTAAAAGTGATCTTTTTCTTCCCCTCTTAGGAGCAGATGTTTAATGAGCTACTTACATGTGATGCACCCCATCTCCTACAAGATTTGGATACTTTCTTAGGGGAAAGAGAGTGGTTCATTGGTAACTCTGTGAGTATGTTTTACAGCTTAAAAAGTACAAGTGTGTGTGTGTATATATATATATATATATATATATATATATATATATATCTTCATTTATTTGTGAAGATAAACCAAAGATATAAAAACCTATTGGGGGGGGGGGGATTACTCATTAGGAGGGAGTAAGAGAGCAGAGATAAAAGCAAACATTTTTTTTGAATAAACATTTTTTGGTAGACTTAATTTTGAAATCAATAACTAAAATATTTTATATAATATATAACAATAATAACAAAAACATCTTTAAAAGCTATCACTGCAAAGCAAAGTGAAACAAATAAACCTGTGTCAGATTGAGGTATAGAGTATGTAAGTACCTATGTATTCTACTACTGAAGAACTACTTTGAAGAACAGAGCTTTAAGCCGGCCAGCATGGCTCAGTGGTTATGTGTAGACCTATGCACCAGGAGGTGACAGTTCAATTCCCAGTCAGGGCACATGCCCAAGTTGTGGGCTTGATCCCCAGTGTGGGGTGTGCAGGAGGCAGCTGATCAATGATTCTCTTTCATCATTGATGTTTCTATCTCTCTCGACCTCTCCCTTCCTCTCTGAAATCAATTAAAAAGAAAACTAAGAAAATATAAAGCTGCAGCTGATTTGTCTCAGTGGGTAGAGTAGGGGTGTCAAACTCAATCAGAGAAGGGGCCAAAATCTAAAATCCAGCCTAAATCGCGGGCCGAATGGTTTACTGAACAGTCATAAACTGTCATTGTGATGGAAACGCAGCGGAGTGCAGTGATGACAGCGCGGTGCGGGCCACATTGCAAGGCCTGACGGGACGGATTTGGCCCGAGGGCCTTGTGTTTGACACATGTGGGGTAGAGAGTCAGCTCAGACTGAATGGTCCTGGGTTTGATTCTGGTCAAGAGCATGTACCTCCGTTGCAGCCTCTATCCCAGCATGCAGAAGGCAACCAATTGATGTGCCTTTTTCTCATCAATGTTTCTCTATCTCTCCCTCTCCCTTCCACTCTCTAAAAATCAATAAAAAAAATATTCTCGGGTGAGCATTAACAAAAAAGAAATAGCATAATATGAAGAACACAGAAATTTGACTATATATGCTATTGAGAACCTTTCACTATGGGAGAAAGAAGATAGAGATGTAAGATCAATAAGGTTAAGTAAACATTCTATTTCTGAGTGTAAACTATATGCAACAGTATATACTCATGTTGTACTTTATCTTAAGATAAAGTATAAGAAAAATTCATTTAGTATCTCTTTTTCAACAATGACCAACACAGTTGTCCTGACCACCCCTAAGCCTGAGATTCTGGTCTTCAAATACTGACGGAACCAGGGCTTCTTGGAGAAAGGCTCATTCTCAGTTTGGGACAGGAAACGTAAAAGATTAACTGGGAATTCCTTGTCATACCAGAAGGAAATAAATTCTCAAAGCCAACAGGAGTTGTGTCCAAAGGTCTCAGAAGTCAACCTGAAGAGGCTCCTACTGGCCAAAGATAATTCAAGCTGCAGTAAGAATGTTAACTGCAATGGACTGAAACAAATCAGAATGAATGAATCCATGAGTATGATCACCACAACCAAACACACAGACACACACAGCCCCCGAAACCAAAGTTTCACTGGTTACTTTTAGAAGATGCTACAGAGCCAAATTATTATTATGAAATCAACAGAAAAGTGGGAGGTTTGAATAAAACCAGTTGTTGTATCTCAAGATAATAAAAATTGATGGCCAAATTTGTCTTCATAAAAAACATTTTAGTTAATAAATTAGGAGAGATTAAAATAAGATATCACTGCCCTAGCCAGTTTGGCTCAGTGGATAGAATGTGGGCCTGAAGACCAAAAGGTCCCGGGATCAATTCAGGTCAAGGGCACATACCTTGGTTGCAGGCTCCTCCTCGGTCCTGGTCAAGCCTCCTGCAGGAGGCAACCAATCAATGTGTTTCTCTCACATCGATTGTTCTTTCACTTTCTAAAAGAGCAATGGAAAAATACCCTTGGGTGAAGATTAACCAAAATAATAATAATAATAATAATAATAATGAAATATCATCATCGATGTTTCTCTGTCTCACCTTTTCCCTTCCACTCTTTCTAAAAAATCAACGGAAAAATATCCTCAGGTGAGGATTAACAACAACAATAAAAATAAAAAAGAAAAGAAAGCAAGCTACTAGTCCACATTTGAACTTCACTTTTTTGAGCCAAAGTAATGTCATCCAGATTCGTTTCTAGTCACAAAGGGGACAAGGATATAAAAAAAAGTATACAAAGGCAGGACCAGCCTGTCATCATCATGGTCAATCTTAGGATACCACTTATAGTCAGACACCTTTATTTTAAATCATCTGATGTGATACAATAAAATGTGTGTTAGCCAGAAATAGTAACTTGAAACTATGAACTCTAGCCTTGGCTGGGGAGCTCAGTTGGTTAGAGCATTATCCTGATATGCCAAGGTTTTGGGTTTGATCCTGGTTGGAACACTTTTAGGAACAATGAACTCATAAATAAGTGGAACAACAAAACGATGTTTCTTTCTCCCTCTCTAATATAAACTAGAGTCCTGGTGCATGAAATTTGTGCACTGGGGGGGGGGGGGGGGGCGGGGAGGGATGTCTCTCAGCCCTGCCTGTGCCCTCTCACAGTTTGGGAGCCCTTGGGAGATGTCCAACTGAAGGCTTAGGCCTGCTCCCTGATGGCTTAGCACTGCCATGGAGGTGGGAGAGGCTCCTGCCACTGCCACTGCACTCGCCAACCATGAGCCTGGCTTCTGGCTGAGTGGTGCTCCCCCTGTGGGAGTGCACTGGCCACCAGGGGGCAGCTCCTGCATTGAGCATGGTCATTGTGCATCGTAACAACTGGTCATTCCACCGTTTGGTCAATTTGCATATTAGCCTTTTATTATATAGGATACAAATTAAAAAACAAACAATAAATTCCGTAGGTATAACTTACACCCTATTCCTTTACATTCTGCATTGTAAAAGAACAAGGTAAACAAGGAGATGATCACACAAACCATGAAGTAAGGACATTGTATAGGACTAGTGTGGAATCCTAACTATTGCAGTGATTGAAAAAAAACGGTACAATTCTAAATTAAAGGGAGTTAAAGGACACAACCAGATAAAACGCATGGTCTTAAAATGGATTCTGCTTTGTCCTATGAAGAACATTTTGGAACAGATGGAAAAGTATTGATTGTGTATTAGATAAGATGAAAATATAGTCAGAGAGATGAAGATTAATCAAGTTATAAGAGTATGTACTATAAGATCTCATCTTTCTAAAAATGCACATACACACACAGAATACCACCTTATATACAGGAGTTAATATTAGTACCCTCTGAGTGTTGGGAATATGGTGTTATCTGTAATTTTCTATCATACACACGTTATTGGACCTTGAATGCCAGATTCTTGAGTTTCAATTTCATAGAAAGGAGCACTGAACTCAGTACAAGATCAAGCAGATGGAGTTTATTGAAAAGAGTTTGTGCACAAGGGATTTGATCAGAAAAAGAGAAGTTCTTGTAGATGGTTAGTTTGGCATGGATGCAAGACTTGAGAATGAGGATGTGGTCAGTTGTCCCACAAAGGTCATCTGGTGGCAGTTGATCCTGGGGTAGTCAGAGAATGTTTTTTGTTTAAAACATTTTTTAAAAAATATTTTATTGATATTTTACAGAGAGGAGGAAGGGAGAGAGATAGAGAGCTAGAAACATCGATGAGAAACATCGACCAGCTGCCTCTTGCACACCCCCTACTGAGGATGTGCCCGCAACCAATGTACATGCCCTTGACAGGAATTGAACCCAGGACCTTTCAGTCCGCAGACCGACGCTCTACCTCTGAGCCAAACCAGTTTTGGCTGTTTAAAACATATTTTTACTGACTTCAGAGAGCAAGGGAAAGGGAGAGAGAGCTGGAAACCAATGATGAGAGAGATGCACGGCTCCCTACTGGGCATGTGCCCTGACTGGGAATTGAACGTGACCTCCTGGTTCATAGGTTGATGCCCAACCATTGAGCCACACCCACCGGGCCACAGGATGTTTTCCGTGGTCAGTGGGCCCATAATAATGCTTGTACAAACATTCCGGTTACCATGTACTTGACAAAACAAAAATTTTGCAGAATATGATGTTAAGAAATGATGTTATCGCCATACAATCATTCCTTTAAGGATGTGGTTAGGTTAATTTTAACTACAGAATTTTACTGAAACCAGGAAGTCATAGTCAGGCCTGTTAGATGGAGTTTATGTGTGACCCCTATACTGTCTCACACACATTCCACTTTTGTAATAACAAAAGATTACTTTGAATTTAAAAAAAACCTATTTTTTAGATTAAGAAGTTATGCCTTTTACATTGATGTGGAAATTTCTGTTTCTTTTCAATCAGGTAACTTGGGCAGATTTCTACTGGGAAATTTGCAGCACGACCCTTTTGGCCTTGAAAGCTGACTTGTTGGACATCCATCCCAGGCTGGTGGCATTACGGAAGAAAGTCCAGGCCATCCCTGCCATTGCTGACTGGATACAACGAAGGCCCCACACCAGACTCTAGGGGTTCCTGCTGCCTCCGACTTTGCTGTTCGCTCCCACCAGATAAGAAGCTACACCAGCCTGTCTCCCCTCCCCCACTACATCAAGACTCCCATTTGCCATATTCTGTTTGAAAAGGAAAAAAAAGGACATTTAGTTGTCAGTATCCATAGCCCCACCCTCCACCCCTCCACCTCCCGACAAGAATACTTAGAATACTTATAACTGAGAAAAAATAGTTTAAGACCTCACCTTGCACCAGTTCTGTCATGCATTAATTTTGGCCACAATAGCTTATTAAATAACACATTCCCCCTGAAAATGGTTTGGATTTCAGTTACCATGGTAACTGTGAGTAACTGCATTAAGTATAAACCCTGTTGCTAGCTCTTTAGCCTGCAAATTTCTATGTAAAAAAGATGCACAGCAGGACCATGACCAATGATGTCACTTCATTCAGTCTGTTAATGGTTGGTCCCTGCACATCTGTGTGTTATGCACCCACAGACAATAAAGTATTGTTTATTGGCTGCTTGTTTCTCTGTGATAAACCATTTTACAAAAGTGGGTAATTGAATAAGGGAACTCACTAATAACGATGAAAATGAAATATAGTGGCAACCATACTTTGGTAAAAACTGCTGTTTAAATTTTAACCCTGCTAAGTCTGGCTCCTGCCTGATTAGACACGGAATACTTACCTCAGCTTCTAGGTGGAGACCTGGAGGCTAAGGCAATTTTCCCTTGCCTGGGACTAGGACCACAGGAGATTGATTCCCACTGACTCAGTAGCTTCAGTGATAGAAACTGTAGAAAACCTTTAGAGACTAACCGCTGAGCTCTGCTTCTGTGTTGTCGGCTATCGCAAGATAGGGCCACATTCCAATGTCCAGCAGGATGTGACTAGCAACGACCCTGCGGGCTGACCTGTCTTTAGAACATATTCTTTAGGATTTAGAATTTAGAACAAAGGAAAATTCCTGTGGTTTGAACCTTTAAAAGGGACTGCCTACCCCTGAAACGGTGCAGTCGTGTGGAGACCACCTGCGTGTGGTGCTCCCGCAGCTGTCCTGGCCAGATATTTCAATAAACCCTTGCCTGCTTTTTTAAATTAATCAGCAGCCTCGGGTGGTCTTATTTTGAACCCAGGTTTTGACTCCACAACAGAAAATGCAATAAAGAAATGAAAGTGAAACGGAATTTTTGGACTGGAACTGGATTCTTTGTCCGCTGGAATCGAAGAATGAATCCACGAATAGAGGCTAGTATAGCAAAGGCATTTATTATATAGCAGAGAGATTTATTGACAAACAAGTACAGACTCCCACGTGGGGAGCGGGAGGACGGAAGGGTCCCACCGGCTTCCTGTTTTCATGGTTTGTAAAGGCTGCAGTTCCTGTGTCCTGACATCCCCTGATTGGTCAATATTTTCTTCCAAATTGGTTACTATAGTGACTTCTGAGGCTCTCCTCCCTCATTGTCACCCTTTCTTCCTTCTTCATTTTGTAAATATAGACCTTTCTTGGCTACTTCCAGTTCCCTTGTCTTATGAATATAGCTGTTACTGGCTCCCTTGTCTTATGGAAATGCAACTGCACCAGGCTTCCTTGTGTTATAGAAATGTACCTCCTCCCAGTCTGCAGCCCTGTGTGTGTGTTTTTTTTTTTCCCCATGGACCCCAATTCTAAACATTTCCCAAACTTGCCTATGTTCCCCTAAACTTCCTGTTTCAAAAATGATAATGCTGGGGTGAAATTCAAACTAAACATAAATGGAAAGAGCTGATTGTGAGAATGTTGACACTAATGCAGTTCAAGAGGCTGATATGCAGCCACAACTTGGTGAAGGCACACTTACCAACATAAATGAGGAAAGGAGCTGTGACAAAGATGATATCCTGGCTTGGCTGGTTTGGCTTAGCGGGTAGAGCATCTGCACATAAACTGAAGGGTCACAGGTTCGATTCTGGTCAAGGGCGGTCAATCACCCACCCCAATGGATGTGTCTCTCTCACATTGATGTTTCTGTCTCTCCCTTTCCCTTCCATTCTCTCTAAAAATCAATGGAAAATATATCCTTCGGTGAGGACTCACAACAACAAAAAGATATCACAGGGAAGGTGAAACTGGTGTAAAACTTCCTATTAAAAGAACAGAGATCAAAAGAATGAGAATATAAGCCACAGAGTAGGAGAAATTATTTGCAAGACCTATCTGATAAAGGACTATTTTCTAAAATATACAAAGAACTCTTAAAGATCAACAATAAAAAAAACCCCAATTACAAAATGGACAAAAGACCTGAGCAGACACCTCACCAAAGATATACAGATGACAAATAAGTGTATGAAAATATACTCAATATCATATATATCTGGGGAACTGCAAATTAAAAACAAGATACCAGACAAAACTGGTTTGGCTCAATGAATAGAGAGCATCGGCCTGCAGACTGAAAGGTCCCAGGTTCGATTCTGGTCAAGGGCATGTAATGTGGTTGCAGGCACATCCCCAGAAGGATGTGTGCAAGAGGCAGCTGATTGATGTTTCTCTCTCATCGATGTTTCTAACTCTCTATCCCTCTTCCTTCCTCTCTGTAAAATATCAATAAAATATATTAAAAACAAAACAAGGTACCAATACATACCCGTTAGAATGGCAAAAATTCAAAACACTGATAACACCAAATGCTGGCAAGAATGTGGAGCAACAGGAACTTTCATTCACTACCGATAGGAATGCAAAATGGTACTCTTTGATATTTACTCAAAAGAGCTGAAAACTCATGTCAAAACAAGAACTTACACTTAGATTTTTGTGGCAGCTTTATTGATAATTCCCAAATTTGGAAGCAACCACAGTGTCTATAAGTAGGTGACTGAATAAACTTTGGCACATCCAAACAAGGGAATACTATCCAGCACTAAGGAAAAATGAGCCATCAAGCCATGAAAAGACACGGGAGGAAACGTAAATGCACATGAAGTGAAAGCAGCCAATAGAAAATGACTGCACACTTGCGCTCTCCCTCTGAGCACGCCTGTGCCTTCCCCTTCCCCCGTGTCCCTCCAGGCCTGCATCCTTTGCCTTTTTCTCTCTAAGCTCCGAGGGCCATTCTGCCGCCTCTGTAAGTCTGCCCCCTGAGCCTCCATGGCCCAGGTGACTCACTTCTACTACCTCTGTAACTTTCTAAATAAACTTTATAATTTGGGAAAAACAAACAAGATAAAAGGACTGCATGCTATATGATTCCAGCTATTTAATGTTCTGGAAAAGGCAAAACTATGAAGACAGTGAAAAGATCAATGGTTTTCAGGGGCTAAGGATGACAGAGGGATGGATAGGTAAGGTACTGAGGATTTCTAGAACAGTAAAACTATTCTGTATGATAATTTTTTAAATTTTTTTTTAATTGATTTTTTACCGAGAGGAAGAGAGAAGAAGAGTTAGAAACATCCATGAGAATCATGGATCAGCTGCCTCTTGCACACCCCCTACTGGGGATGTGCCCACAACCAAGGTACATGCCCTTGACTGGAATAGAACCTGGGACCTTTCAGTCCGCAGGCCTACGCTTTATCCATTGAGTTAAACCGGTTTCAACTGTATGGTACTTTAATAGTGGATTTCCTTGTCAAACTATCAAATGTACAATACCAAAAATAAACCCTAATATAAACTATGGTCTTTGAGCGGTTATGTTGTGTCAATGTAGGTTCATATATCATAACTGATATACCATTGTGGTGCTGGATGTTGACAGTGGGGGAGGCTGTGCCTGTGTTGGGGAAGGGGTATGGTAACTGTACTTTCTGCTCAATTTTGCTGTGAACCCAAAACTCCTCTAAAAAGGTATTAAAATAATGCTTGCAAGTTACACAAAATGGTACTGTTCAAACTCCTCATACTTATAGAAATAAAACTTTCTCAATGTTTCTAATACTTTATAGTGTACTAAAAATAGTTTTGCTACTTATTTCACTTGCTTATACATTTAGAACCAATGTTTTTAATGTGTTCACAAAATTTTTTAAATGTCATGAAATCATCACTTTCCCAATGACTAAGATTTTGCAAATTTCAACTTGATGTCATTTTTACAGCCCCATACTATCATAGAAAAGCAAGAAGTCTGTGTTTATACACACACACACACACACACACACACACACACACACACATACAATTGTTGAAATAGAAGCCTTCCAAAGAACTGTATTTAATATGATTGCTCCTAACATCCTTTTTAACCATGTACTATTGGAACATAAAAATGGGGTTCAACTTACAGGTCAATATTAATATTGGGTTACATTTCAGTATGTCATGTTGCACAGAAACAAACTAATGAAATACATGGTCTACACTTGAAATACAGGGCAGCAGAAGGAAATGTAGCTGAGCAGTCACAGGGACAGGAAGAAAGGAACAGGGAAGCCTAGCTTAACATACTCTTAAGGGGCTTCTTCCCTCCCAGCAATGTCCCATGAAATGGGAGAATGTTAAATGCTTTGTACATTACTAAGGACTACACATGAAAACAAAATGTATATTCTTATACAGTCAATGGCTGTGAATAAATGATAATAGGTTATTGGTGAATCTCATTGCAAAGTACTCGTCACCAAGGCAGTTTAAATAAAGTATATTTTACAAAATAATTTTACATAATAGTCTAGATCAGCGTTTTTCAACCGCTGTTCCGCGGCACAGGATGTTGCCTGGTGTGCTGTAGGTGCAGACAAGACAAGAATTTTATAATTTTTCACTATTTTGTTTACTTAATATTTCATAATAAAGTAATTATAAAATACTTTCTTTGTGTTTATTTGATTCCTATTCAAGAGAATTACTTTATATATAGTCAATATAGGCACAGAGTTAAGTTTTTTAACATTTTCTAATGGTGGTGTGCCTCATGATTTTTTTCATGAAACAAGTGTGCCTTTGCCCAAAGAAGGTTGAAAAACACTGGTCTAGATAATACAGGCAATAACTCTTCCTCCCTCTTAAAATGTTCATTTTCTTGCATGTGATTTCATTCTGATAAGCTTTAATAAAAAATAAATTTCATAAAAAATGCTTACCTAAAATTATAAAAATTCAAAATAAATGATCAGTCTCACTTGTTTACACATATTCAGTCTATTCAAATAAATGAATCACAGCAGGTTTCGAAGTATTTCATCTCAATCAGCATCACCTTAACCTTTCAGGTCATCATTTTTTTGCTGAAGGACAATACATTTTATTATCCCATCTGCAACCCAAAGTAAATATCTCCTCACTGAGCAAGTGAGAGAATATGAATGATTCAGAGCAGAAATTGAATTGCATATTATAATCAGAAAAAAAAACACGTACTTTGGTAAGAGTTAAAAAAACCAATTTAATTTCATGAACTATTTAAGGGTCTCACTTAAGGTCACGCAAATAGTAACCAAATCTCTTGATAACTTCTATTAACCAATATACAATAACACCAATAACTGGGAACAATATTAATGTTTCAATATCAGTACCTTCTAGCATCAATTTAAGACTATAGGCGTCAGGAATATAATTGTGAAAACATATAAAGTGTAGGTCTTTCCATCTTTGCGTGACATACTAAAAAAGGCTGCTTCAGTTGGTCAAGATATTACTCCAATAACCATGGCCTCATATACTCCCTTTACTAATTAATGGGTTGTATTTACTGACATCAGCCAAATGAAGGCACTCATGAGAACAGATCCCTACGTAATAAATTCGTTTATTAAGAAACAGACAATATATGCCGGGACTGGTTTGGCTCAATGGATAGAGCGTTGGCTTGGGGACTGAAAGGTCCCGGGTTCGATTCCGGTCAAGGGCATGTACCTTGGTTGCAGGCACATCCCCAGTAGGGGGTGTGCAAGAGGCAGCTGATCGATGACTCTCTCTCATCGATGTTTCTAACTATCTCTCTCCCTTCCTCTCTGTACAAAATCAATAAAATATATTAAAAAAAAAAAAAAGAAACAGACAATATAAAGCACGTAATATGACCTAATTTGTGCTCAATATTTTTGTTTTTAAGGGTAAAGATAGGGTTAAAAACTATTAAAAAGGGTGTGAAATGCAACTTAAGATCACAAATATTTTTATTAAGCCCCAGACATAATAAAGCATTACAGGGAGAACCCAACTACTACATTTCATTGAAGATAAAAATATGGTTTTAACAACAAAAGAAATAGCCTCTTAATGAAGATACATTAATACAAAAAAGTTATGAGAAATCTATTGTAATATTTTAAAAGGTAATATTCTTAAAAAATTGACAAAGTAATTTGGGTACTGTGACGCAGGAGGAGACAGTAATATTTTCCGATTCCTTTTAGTCCCCATACTAAAATAAACGGAATATCTTTAATATACCATCAAAACTTTGAGCCATGAGTTTTCAGAGTCCACAATATCTGAAAAATCACTATCAGAGTTTCATTAGCCTTCTAACTACAGAGGACTGTATTACCCTAGCATCTTAGCAAGTCAGGATGCCTGTAAAGTATAATCTCCAATTAACAAATCTTTGATTTATAAATAACTTTATTTATAATGGTATTTACATAATAAAAACAAAACACATGAAACTCACAAGTTATACAAAAAAAATTTATGTGTAATAAAAACAGCAATATAGACTGACAGGCAAAATTTTAAAGAAAGACTTAATAAAGAGTTAAATATCAAGTAGACAACTTTACTTCTAAGTTTCACTTTGTCACCCACACTGAATTGGAATTGAAAAATGGCTCTCTTCAGGAGGTCCTGTACTGGAATTTCTGGAACCTGGTAAATCATACTTTATAAGAAGGTAAAGGTAATGACCTATTTCCATGCAGTACTAATGCTTCCTTAACATGAAGTCATATTCAGTCTGCTTTTAAGTGAGATAGCCTGTTAATCTGTTCTGCCAGGCTAGAAAAAAATGTCACCAACATTTTGCTGATGTGTGGAGATATGGCAGAATAACTACTATTTAGAGAGTAAAAAGAACTGGAGCAGAAATGACTGGGCAACAGTTTCAAGAGAAGCAAAAGCCAGGAGAGGGAAATCAATGAAAACATGCACAGGAATGGGCAGAGTAATATATGCACAATTAACGCAGTTGGGAAATGAACAGAAGGAATTAATTATTCCATGGAGCAAGGTAAGGGCTTCTTTAGATACTATTCACTGGAAAACAACTTAGTGCCTAGCCAAATGTATTTGTTTTAACAGAAGTAGTTGGGAGGACCTGGGGTGTCAGTATATGGAATGCCACCTTTAAATTCAGGTTGAGTTCTTGTTGACAGTGGTGAACATCTGCTTCAAATAGCAATAAAATGAAAGCTATATAATCTATACAGCTGTATTTTTTAAACCTAACGTAATAAAAAAAGAACTTCAAATAAGACAAGCAAAAACAAGACATAAGCATTGTCAAATAAGGCACATGTAAAAATCTACACACATTATCCAGTGAAAGACAATATATATATATTTGGAGGTAGAAATAATTACAAAAATACTGACATTTCTAAAGCATTAGCATATTTGTTACAAACAATCACCAACTAATCCCCATTCAGAAAACTGTTTTGTAAAATGATTATTCAACATCTTTACGACTACATATTTGTGGCTTTTATTGAAACTTTATATGTGAGCTTCGGGAGAATTCAGTTAGTGGCAAAAAAGTTGTCCATACTATGAGAAATGTAATATGGAAATTATAAAAAGTTACAAATGTTCACAAACCCCATGGTCATCATAATGTAAATGTCCTTGAATGCACCAAGTTGATATTTCCTCATCGATCAGGAATTCACAATTCTTATTTCATAGGCCCATTGACGTTTTAAGTAATGTGGCTATATCTGCTGGCATGCTCCCTTCGTCTCCTGCAGGTTAGAAAGTGGCATTAAGAGTTTAATACTTTTTAATATTTCATAAAATATATTCTTTCTCTCCAATTTTTGCTACTCTGGTGAATTCCTAATCATCTTTCAAGGCCCCGTTTGCTTCAGTGGCATTTTCTGTTAAAATATTTCCAAATATGTCTGGATGGTGTGGCTCAGTGATTAAGTATCCATCCATAAACCAGTCACAGTTATATTCTATGTCAGGGCACATCATCAATGTTTCCATCTCTCCCTCCCTCTCCATTTCCTTTCTGCTCTCTGAAATTAATAAAAATGTATTTAAAAAATCTCTTCGAATTCCTCTGTACATTAGAGCTGCTTCCTCTGTGCTCATGCTCCTATTGACAGTATGGCATCACAGACTATGTTGCTGATTTAATATCCTATCTAATAAAAAAGTAATATATGCAATATACAAATTAACCATCACTCTACTACACCCACAAATCACGCCCACAAGCCAATCAGGAGTGAGTATGCAACTTAACACAATCAAGATGGCTGTGGCCATGGAGAGAGCAGGAAGCTTGGGTTTCCTTGGTAATGGAGGAAGCCAAGCTTTCCACACAGCCTGGCTGGCCTAAGCCTCTACTCAAGGCTACAAAGTTTCAATTATAGAAGATAAATAAATCCCAGATACCGGGGCCTCCACTTGGGTTGCCGGGGGGCGTGGCCAGCCTGCAAACCACCCAGGCCCCCGCACTGGCTGCCCCACGGAAACCCCCACCCTGATCTGGGACACCCTTCAGGGTAAACCAGCTGGCCCCACCATGCCCCATGCCTCTATCCTATCTAATAAGAGAGAAATATGCAGACAGAGCATCACTCCAACACACTAGATGGCTGTCACCATGTAGACACAAGATGGCCACCACAAGAGGAGGGCAGTTGGGAGGGACCAGGCCTGCAAGGGAGAACAGTTGGGGGTGATCAAGCCTGCAGGGGAGGGCAGTTGGGGGTGACCAGGTCGGCAGAGGAGGAAAGTTGGGGGCGACCGGGCCAGTAGGAATGGGCAGTGTGTGTGTGTGTGTGTGTGTGTGTGTGTGTGTGTGTGTGTGTGTATGGGGGGGGGGGGGTGGAGATGATGGACCAGGCCTGCAGGGGAGGGCAGTTAGGAGCAAACAGACGACAGTGGAGCAGTGAGGCATCAATCAGACGGCAGGAGTGGTTAGGGAGTGATTAGGCTGGCAGGCAGAAGCAGTCAGGGGCAATCAGGAAGGCAGGCATGTGAACAGTTGGGAGCCAGCAGTCCTGGATTGTGAGAGGAATCCCAAATTGAAAAGGGTGCAGGCTGGGCTGAAGGACACCCCCCCACCCGTATGGTAATACATTTCAGTGCAGTAATTTGATAGTTTATTGAAGCTGTAGGTTAATAAGATAAACCTTTATCATAATAAAACATTTTAACTAAGCCAGTATTTATTCTGAGCAGTGGAACAGTCTAAAAAATTCTAGTGTTTGTGCTATTGTAGAAAGGTGAAACAATCCAAATATAATGATCCCAGTGTGGGACTGGGCCTCAACAAGCAGTCCAACATTCCCCTCACAATCCAGAACAGCTGGCTTCCAACTGCTAGCCTGCCTGCCTTCCTGATTGCCCCTAACCGCTTCTGCCTGCCAGCCTGATCACCCCCTAACCACTTCCCTGCCGCTTAATTGATGCCTAACTGCTCCCCCGCCACCTGTTTGCCCACAACTTCTCTCCTATGCTGGCTTGATCGCCCCCAATGGCCCTCCCTTGCAGGCCTGGTCCCTCCCAACTATCCTCCCCTGTTGGCCATCTTGTGTCCACATAAGAGCAGGATCTTTGACCACATGGGGGAAGCCATCTTCTGTATTGGAGTGATGGTCAATCTGCACATTACTCTTTTATTAGGTAGGATAGAGGCCTGGTGCATGGATAGAGGCCAGCTAGTTTGCCCTGAAGGGTGGCCCGGATCAGGGTGGGGCTCCCTTAGGGTGTGGGGCGGCCTGAGCGAGGGGCCTATGGTGATTTGGAGGCCTTGGTATCTGGGATATATTTACTTTTTACAATTGAAACTTTTGAGCCAAGCCTCCTGCTCACTCCATGGCGGCAGCTGTTTTTGTTTGGATTTGTTCAGCTTCATAATTGATACTTTGTAGCCTTGGAGGCTTAGGCCAGCAAGGGCAGGCGGAAAGCTTGGCTTCCACAGTTGCCGAGGAAACACCTCCCTCCTGCTCTCTGTGGCTGTAGCCATCTTGGTTGGATTTATTTGCATACTCGCTCACATTGGCTGGTGGGTGTGGCTTGTGGAGCAAATTGATGGTTAATTTGGATATTACTCTTTTTATTAGGTAGGATTATAGATACAATTTTAATTTATTTCTGGAATGTTTTGGTGTCAGAGATAAGGAATAGAATAGACAGAATTTTCCAAAATCAAAGTGTTATTTTACATCAATTCTGGCAAAATTATCTTAGTTATTGTTGTACTTTTGAAATGAGTATCTTTCTTTTCTCCTACACCATCCCTACACTGTATGCCAGTTAAGTACACCAGATCATCTTTGTTACCCTTTTGTATTGCTAATTTGTTGTATTTCCATATAAATAAATACTGAAGTTTCTGCTAATAAACAACTTACCTTCATCTACTGTGGTCATATCTTGCTCTAGTTTCAATTTCTGTTGGTTAATTTTTAGCATAGACTCTTCAATCGTTCCTTGGCTTATTAATTTTATAACTAGTACTTCTCTAAATAATAAAACATATGTCCATTGGTTAATAAATATAAAATGTTTGAACTATAAATCATCTTAGAGTTCTATAAGAACATTTTTAAAAATGTGTAACAAATATGTACATAACTTTGTACTTTAAGTATAATAGTACTGGGTTTACAACAAACAGTTCTGGGTTCAGATAGGTAATACCATTTTAAAAAGGAACATGCTTTAATTATTAGATTCTAAGAAATAATTATATAGGAGGTTTGAACCCCACAATAGGTACTGATCCCTATTTGGTTTATAAATGAATATATCAAAATGTCTTGGAAATACTGTCAAATACTCCACAAAGAAAACACTGTCTGCTGTTTATATGTGAAAGTAGAGTTGAAGTGTAGGTATTTTTTCACCTCTACATTTGGTCCTATGACCAATGTCAATATTAACATCACCTAAACTATCTACAACTCAAAGAATCTATTTCCTAAGAGTAATTGGGTAGCAAAAGTATGTATATTACCAAGTCTATCTAATTCTTAAATTGTCTAAAAAGCAAGTATTTTTAATTATAAATCATTTCAAAGGCACTGGCTCATTGATAATACCACCTTTTTATTAGGTACAGAACTATTTGTGTTGGGGTGAGAGGCTATTTTGTTTTAAAAACTAGAAATTGAATAGGTTACACAGTGAAGTTCATATTCAACACTGCTGCTATAAAATACATCAGCAGCCATGCTTTGATAAAAAATATTCAAACTAAGTCAGGACAGCTGACAGACTATATTCTCATAGTCCATACACAATAAACTTGCATTTTATTAAAAAAATAAATTTCAACTGAAAATACTTACTTTGTCTGGCCTACCCTATGGCATCTATCTTCTGCTTGTTTATCATTATAAGGGTTACAGTCAATATCGTGAAGTATAACAACATTTGCTGAAGTCAGGTTTATTCCTAAGCCACCAGCTTTTGTTGACAGCAGAAATACAAAGATATCCATATCGGTATTATACTCATCAATTAAATGAATCCTGTAGGATAAATATATTAGGTTATATCTCACCCAAAGGTATAAAACTGAAATGAAAAGAATCACATCACATGAAAAATAAAATTGAAGATGTAAATGCATGGTTTTTGTATTATAGCTACATTACCTGCAACTATATTATTGAAAGATCTTCCCAATTCATCAACTTCTTTTCTATAACATTTATCTCTACTAATTCTTACTTAATTCAACTATTCAGATTTGATTAATTCCTGAAGCACTATTTTGTCCTTTGTTTAATGGTTCTGGCTTCTCTGAATTCTACATAAGGCTTTTCAATCTTTTACCTTCTCCAAAGTCTGTCAATTGCTACCTACTAGTAGACAATGTAAGTATGAACTGAATCTCAAGATCAAGCTGTACTGGTGTAATCTCTTTTAGCATGACTTCCTCACTGTAATGCAGAGGGGTAGGGAAGGTGGGGGAGGGAATTCACTCTGGCTGATAAAAAATAAATCAAGCCGAAACTGGTTTGGCTCAGTGGTAGAGCGTCGGTCTGCAGACTGAAAGGTTCCAGGTTCGATTCCAGACAAGGGCATGTACCTTGGTTGCGGGCACATCCCCAGTAGGGGGTGTGCAAGGGGCAACTGGTCAATGTTTCTCTCTCGTCGACGTTACTAGCTCTCTATCTCTCTCCCTTCCTGTCTGTAAAATATCAATAAAATATTTAAAAATAAATAAATAGATAAATAAATAAATAAATAAATCAAGATATAATGCAGTTAGACATTCTAGAAAAAACATTCCTTTTTTGAAGATAACCATTTTTAACCTTTGGAAACTAAACATAACTTACTCTTAAAATATGAAAGGCCAAGATTTTAAAACAATTTTAGTTTACAGATGCTTTAGACTTTGATTTTTAAAGAGAAAAACACTACTAAGTATACAATTATAGAACTGTTTCAAAATATACTTTCATGCAATTCAGACCAAAAAAAAAGGAAAAAAAAGAAATGTTCCTCATCTTTAGGTAATAACTGGAAGTAACTACATATAAGACTCAAAGCAATACAATTCTATCAAGTGTTCTAGACATTTAAAATGCAAATAATCTAATTTGAGGGTAAGGTGGATAGAAATTTTAGAAGGTAAAGTATACCAACCTTTCAGAAATCTGAGTCTTTCCATCTAATCTGAGGTACCTATGTTGATGATGTTTTAAAAGAGCCTCTAAAATATCCAGCATCATGGTAAATTGGCTAAATAATACAACTCTATCACCCTGTGAAAATACATATATGTATTAAATACATGGGAAGAAAAATATAAATATTTACTGTTCAACTGCTTCTTTAATAAAAATCAAGTAATCGTAACTAAGGTAAAATTCTTTTTAGATTGTATATAAATTAATTTCTAAACTTAAGAACTAAATTCAATTTTCAGTTTTGATTTATAAGGACAATAAGTGGGAATAGCTACAAAGTACTGTTTGGATTGTGATCTTACAAATTTAAGCTATTTCACATATAAACTGTAGTATTACTTAACCATTTAACATAGTATCAATCATACAGATTGAGTGGTACGTATGAAATAATGACAAGATTCTTTTTTAAAAAAAACACCAATATAGACATGTTCTAATAACTTCTATTTTTCTTTTGGAGGTTCGACTGAGGAAGAATAATCAGGAAAATATACTCCCATATACAGTGGAAATTTCTTATCTGCAGGGAATACATTTCTAGATCCATGGTAGATGCCTGAAACCAGGGATAGTACCAAACCCTACATATAGTTTTTCCCTCTACATACATACTTTCTCACTTAAAGGAAGCACTTTACATCTTGTCTTTGTCATATCCAAATTACTAGCATCACTACTCTTGCACTTTGGACCATTAATGAATAAATTCAGGGTTACCTGAACACAAGCACTGCGTTACACAGCCGTTCTGATAGCCAACAATAGATGTGATAACTGAGAGAACTACTGAGTGACTAATGGGCTAGTGTACATAGTGTAAATATGCTGGCATATACTGATTCATGTCCAGGCAAGACAGCACAAGATCGCATCACAAAACTTACAATAGTGTGCAATTTAAAACTTACGAATTGTTTATTTCTGGGATTTCTCCATTTAATATTTTTGGATCATGTTTAGCTTTTGGTGACTAAAACCACAAAAAGCAAAAGGGCAGATAAGGGGGGGGAACTATTGCATCTCCCCCAAATGCTCAAAACACTCATTTCTAAAAGACTGCAGAACAGACAACGGCTAAAACTTTAAGAAAATCAAATCATGCCAGAATTGTCTTAAGAAGTTTAACTTATTGGGAAAACACAAAAGGAGTAGCATTCTTCTTTAATACCTTCTCTTTTAGTTCAGACAAAATGCGTGCCAAAACTCGGAATTTTCCAGAATCTAAAATCAAGTCCATGTCTAACTGGAAGTTATTAATGTGCCGATACTGTTTACAAAGTACATGTAATTCAAAGTCTGTCATAACTTCCATATCTTCAAAGATCAGGTCAGGGTTAGCTTCACAATGTGTAGGTTCCTCAAAGCAAAACATATAATACACATACTTCAAAATTAAGATAATTTATTGTTCATATCTGATAAAATATTTAAATCATAGAAATTTTAGGACCATAGTTGTAACAAAGAAAACTAAGATTTTTTAGGTACAATAATGGGGGGGAATTCCTATATTTTAGAATTAACATAAAGAAATATTTACAGATGAAATAAGATCTGGAATTTATTTCATAATAATCTTGGGGAAGGGACTAGATGGAACAACAGTAATGATTCCCTTGTGCAATGCTGGTGGGACTGCATAGTGGTTTAAATAACCATGTGTTTAAATAATCACAACAACACTAGGGACAACAATATGGAGATATATCAAAAACTAAAAACAGATCTATCATATAACTCAGTAATTCCACTTATGGCACTTATCCAAAGAAGACAAAAACACTAATTTGAAAAGATATATGCATTCCTATGTTCAGTGCATTATTATTTACAATAGCTAAGATATGGAAGCAACCTAAGAGTCCATAGATGGATGAAGAAAATGTGATACATATGTACAATGAATATTACACAGCAATAAAAATTATGAAATCTTGCCATTTGCAACAACAGGGTATTATGCTAAATGAAATAAATCAGACAAAGATAAATACCATCTGGTATTACTTAGATGTAGAATACAAAAGAAAACAAATGAACAAACAACAATAGAATCATAAAAATAGATCAAATGGGCAGTTGCCTGAGGGGAAGAGAAAGGGGAAGGGAGAATGGTTAAAAAAAAAAAAGGGGGGGTGGTGGATATAGTCAGTAATCTTATATAATAAAGAGATAATATGCAAATGGTCATTATGCCCTCTTAATCCATCACCAGGAGGCTGGGTGGGCAGGGACTCGATGCAGCGTGTGACGTGGAGGCGAGGCCCAGTGGCTTCCCGAGACTGAGCAGGGCGGAGGCAGGACCCCCAATGGGTGGGTGGGTCCTACCTCTTTGGGGTGATCAATTGTGGACTCCTGCACTGTGAGAGGGCACAGGCCTGTTTGGGTAATCCCCCCCCCCCCCCCCCAGTCTAGAGTGCACAAATTTCGTGCACTAAGCCTCTAGTGATGTAATAAGTTTGTGGTAGCAAATTATAAACAGTATTAGTGAGTGATCACATTGTAAGATATAAAAATGTCAAATTACTATAAGGTACACTTGAAATTAATATAACACTTAAATAAATAGATAAAAAATAAACAGTGTCATTCCTGATAATAATTACAGAAAACGTGTGAAGGTTATATGGGCAGAGGATTTCATTATATAATTCTCTCTACTTTTACATGTTTGAAATTTCCATATTAAGCTTAAAATAATAGTTTAAAAAAAAAAATCAAAACAAATGGCCGCTGCCCAGCCAGTGGGAGTCAGAGGTTGAGTAATGACTTATAAACCAGGAGGTCAGGGTTTGATACCAGAAGATCAAAGATAGATTCCCAGTTGGGCATATATCCAGGTTGTAGGCTCAATGACCAGTGTGGAGTATTCAGAAGGCAGCCAATCAATGATTCTCTCATTGTTGATATTTCTAACTCTCTCCCTCTCCTTCTTTGAAATCAATAAAAAAAAATATAAATATATAATAAAAAAAATAAAAAGCAAAAAAAAAATATATATATATATATATATTTAAAGCAAATTTTTTTATAAAAAAAGCTTTTAGCAGGAGAAATATGGGTAGTTGCTAAAGAAGAATGAGGTAAAAAATAAAGAGTAATGGCTAAAACTATATACAAAATAAAGGATAAAATGAAAAAAAAAGAGAGAAAAATTACTATGTAGGTCATAAAATCTGAGAAATCTTTTGGTAAAAAAATAAATAAGTATATTATGAAGACTAGATCAAGAATTGGCAAACTTTTTCTGCAAAGGGCCAGACAGTAAATATTTTAGATTTTGTAGGCTAAATGATCTGTTTGGCAAACATACAACTCTGCCCTTTTATTGAGAAAGCAGTCACAGACAATACAAAAACAAAGGCTGTGGCTGTTAGAATAAAACTTTATTTATAAAAATAGACACTGCCATATTTGTCCCTCTGGAGATAGTTGGCTGATTCCTGGTCAGTCCTTAACTTTTATGTCTCCCAAATTATCTTGAACTTTGTCTTAAAACATATTTGTTTTTCTTAAATGTGGTTAAAGGGTTAATATGCTTATTAGGTTCAATGGTCTGATTTTTAGCCTAACAATTTAACCTCATGTTTAACAGTGGTAATAAAGCTTAGTGTTAGCATAAGATGGAATCTTTACCTTTAGCATAAGCTGGGACATTTCCTTGAGTTTTTCAGCTGTGTAATATTGGCGATGTAATAAAGGATGATTGGCCATTTTTCTCAATTGCATCATGACATTGCACATTTCTGTGTTTTTTTCTGTGATCCAAAGAGACAGATTTTTTTAAAAATACAAAAAAACAAGCTGACAGCTGTTTGTTGAAATATATATCTTGCAAACAAAGAGCTAAAATTATATCTCAATGCAAACAAAGAGCTAAAAAATTAACACTAACTTAAAAAAATGAGTGAAGGCCACTATGAGTAAACAAAATGCAGCCCTAGGACAGGATCATTTTTCACAAAAAATTATGAAAATCAGGTTATACCTAAGTTATTGATAGACTTTTTCAATTTGCTGAAAAGACCCAGGTAGAGTTGCTCCTGATTCTCCGACATGGGACACAACTCAATCTGGTCCTTCTTGGGGGGCAGCTGCTTGAGAACCTGAGCGAGGAAACCAGTTTAAGTAAAACAATCAGATAAAGACGAACACAGACTTTTAAAAATCAATCATAATAAAAAATATGCAGATAAGAGTTACCTCATCTTTTACTCTTCTGAGAATAAATGGTTTTATAATCTGTTTTGCGTGTGCTATTCTCTCCTTTTCATATATACTTTGCTCATCTGCTGGTTTCTAAGTAAAATAAGAACATATTCTTTCAGAAATTATATTCATATAAATGGTGACAATAACATTACACAACATGAAATTTTTATTTGTTTTGCATAGAAACTCCATTTATTTAGATGGAACTTCACATTTATATTATATATCGGGTCTAGTAATAATTAATGTCGTTTTTAAACATTTGTTTAAAATCTTGCTTGGCGTTGACTTGTATTGACATAACCTTCAAACACGTGGTATCTACAGAACATGTGAAGTGCAATTAACAAGTTTTGCTTGAAAAAGTTTGTGTTTGGTTTGGTTTTTGTTGCAAAACTAGGGCTAAGAAGATGGCGGATGAAGAGCATATTCGGCACTGCATGCTTTACGAGTTCCAATTAGGAAGAAAAGCAAGTGAGGCTGCAAAAACATCTGTAGTGCTCTTGGTCAAGATGCAGTTAGTGGCAGAAAATGCCAGCGTTGGTTTGAGAAATTTCGCGAGGGAAATTTTTCGTTAGATGACAAGAGTGGTCGAGGCCGTGTGTCCAATTTTGATCAAGAAGCTCTTCAAGCTCTTTTGGTGCAAAATCCTCAAATTACCCAACAAGAGCTTGCGACAACTTTAAATTGTTCACAAAAAACAATTTCCAATCAATTGCATGCACTTGGCAAAGTCCAAAAGTTTGGAAAATGGGTTCCTCATGAGTTGACCGACAACAACCGACAATCAATCAAAGAGTCACAATTTGCAGTTCGCTCCTCTCTCGTCAAAACCATTTGCCGTTTTTAGAGCAAATTGTTACCGGAGATGAAAAATGGGTGCTGTATGTTAATTTGAAAAGGCGGCCTCAATGGTTGGACAAAAATGAGTCTCCGCAGCCCACTCCAAAACCTGACTTGCATGCAAAAAAAGTGATGTTGTGTGTTTGGTGGAATTTTAAAGGAATTCTTCATTATGAACTTTTACCATCTAACCAAACCATTACAAGTGCAGTGTATAGTGCCCAATTGGAAAGGTTAGCCCAAGCTTTAAGAGAAAAAGAACCGCGCTGATTAATCGGAAGGGCGTAATTCTTCACCACGATAATGCACGACCGCATACTGCAAGAATCACTGCTGAAAAACTGCGCCAGTTGGAATGGGAAGTTCTCCCTCAACCTGCATATTCTCCTGATATTGCCCCTTCCGATTACCATTTGTTTCATTCTTTGCAAAACTTTCTTCTTGGAAAAAAATTTAATAATGAAGAATGCCTCAAAAATGCATTGACCGAATTTTTTACATCAAAATCACAAGAATTTTACAACAGAGAGATTAAAATGCTTCCTGAGCGTTGGGCACAAGTAGTAGAAAACAACGGCAACTATATTGTTGATTAAATTTTGTTGTATTGTTTAAATAAATTCGATTTAAAAAAGTATTAGAAAACGACATTAATTATTACTAAACCTAATACTTCTTAAAGCTCCATAAGTATTTTGAGATTTCATGACATGTAAATTGTATATTCTCCTGAACTGTTCTAAGTTCACAATGTTTTCAGAAGTCATTAGCTGATGAGTTGTTACTGATTACCAAGAGAACATAATGAAAATGTGTGTGTGTGTGTGTGTGTGTGTGTGAGAGAGAGAGAGAGAGAGAGAGAGAGAGAGAGAGAGAGAGAGAGAGAGAGAGAGAGAGAGAGAGAAAGGGGGAGGGAAAAGGTGAGATGTAGGGTATGAGAGAGGTAAAACACTTGTATTTAATTGTGGAAAATGACCCTAAAAGAAAACTAGTACAGGTGATGCGAATCATGTGATCTAAAAAAAAATGGGCATAGTTATTAGTCAAAACTGGTTAATTTTGAAGAATTAAAGAAATGTGGAATTTTATTCTAAAATGTAAAGGTATCCTTCATATCCTATGAACTGCTAGGTCATCAAGTGAGAAAAAATTCATCAGTGAAAGTTAAAAAGGCAGTTAATTGTAGCAGAAGACTATCATAGAAAATGCATGCAAAATATGTTATGACAGAAGAATTAAGAATCTATATTAACATTGCTGTATGGAAGAATTTAGGAGTTTCTGAAGACTGCACTGTGCTTTTTCTAAGCAATCAGGAGAAAATTAACAAGATTTTCAACTAAACAGATTTCTTTATTGTAACTTTTAGAAACTGTTACTATTGTTATTTGTGAACTTTTATTTCAAAACATATGTTGCAGGATATGAATTTTCCATCTTAGCCTACTTCTAAAGTTTAGCCATTTAAAAAAATGCCAGTTTTCCTGACCAAAATTTTAATAAAGAAAAAGCAATGATCAAAACTTTTCCCAAATATTATACATCAGAGCCTTCCACTAATTTAGAATAGTTATTTTTCAGAAAATTAAAATGATAAAAACCAAAACTTTTAGACACAGATTACAGAAGTCACCAATTCATTTCTCAGTGGGTTTCGCAGATTTCTCAACTTATCCAAGAATAGGAATATTGACTATTTAAATTTCAAAATGAAAACAAGAAAAAAGACAAAATAGAATAACCTAGGTAAAACACAAAATAACATATTTGGGAGAAAATATAAATTTATGCTTACTGTCTTAGAAGAAAACATCCTTCGTATTTCACTTGTGCTACTACTAAACATGTGTGGCATAACAAAATTCAACAGCGACATGAGTTCTAATAGATTATTCTGTACAGGTGTGCCTGTGAGCAGCAAACGGTTATTTGCCTGTGAATGAAGGTAATTAAGATTAGTTGGTTTTTTAAATTATAGACACATCCTTATTTGTCTACCCTCCTCAGTGGTGGTGGGAGGGGATTAATACCATTATTAATAATGTAACTTTCTGTAATGAAAGATGAGTAATTAAAAAAATTATCTATTGTAATTTAAGGCAGAATGTATAAAACTAATGGTTTTACTTTTTAAGTAGGTAACTTACATCCTTATATCACTTTATGAGGTAATGAAAATAGATTATATTTAATATCACACAGGACAGAGATGGTAAATAGAGGTTCATGAGCTATGAACGGTTTTAAAGGGTTGTAAAAAAAAAAAAAGCAAAAGAACAACAGAGGTTAAATAATCCACAAAGTACTAAATATTTCCTTTTTTGGCCCTTTACAGAAAAAGTTTGCTGACCCCTGATATAAAATACTACTTACATTAAAATACATAATATGTAATGTTATCATTATTGGAAAAAGTCACAAACACTCTCTTACATTAATGGTCATAAGGTGCTGGTAGCGAATAGAGCCCATATTCTTCAGCATATGGCCCTCATCAAAAATTGCGTAATTAAGTTTTAGTCGTCGAAAGAGACTACGGTCATCAGAACTGCTGATTGCACAATTATACCTGTCACCAAAAGAAGAGAGAAATCTCTAGGGTTATACCTTTATGAGCCTGGATACTAGTAAGATTTATTGCTTTGTACAATTATTTTTATTTATACACTTTTAATCACTGGTATCTAAAAGATACCACTAGCTGGTGCTCAAATAAATACTAATGTATTGTAAATTATCCAGTAATTATTGATGTACATATAACCAAGTTTAAAATTGGCTAGGCCAGTGTGACTCAGTGATTGAGTGTTGACCTATAGACCAGGAGGTCGAGTTTCAATTTCTGTTCAGGCACAAGCCTTGGTTGCAGGCACAATCCTCAGTGGAGGGTGTGCAGAAGGCAACTGATCAGCCGAAACCGGTTTGGCTCAGTGGATAGAGCGTCAGCCTGCGGACTGAAAGGTCCCAGGTTCGATTCTGGTCAAGGGCATGTACCTTGGTTGCGGGCACATCCCCAGTGAGGGATGTGCAAGAGGCAGCTGATTGATGATTCTCTCTCATTGATGTTTTTAACTCTCTATCCCTCTCTCTTCCTCTGTATAAAAAATCAATAAAAAAATTATATATATAAAAAAAGGCAGCAGATCAATGATTCTCTCTCATCATTGAAGTACCTATCTTTCTCTCCTTCTCTGAAATTAATAACTAACAAAAAAAAAGCCTCCAGAGGTAGCTATAAGAAAATTTAAATGTTATACTGTAATCAGACAACTTCTGCATACCTAGGAAGAAGCCAATTTTGGTTTAATGTATATGTAATCTGCACTTGTTGTACACTTCACTTCATTAATTGTTATATTTTAAAAATCAGCAGAAAAAAGGACATTAAGATATTTCTGTTAAGAACATACTACTATATTAAACTAACACAGTAGATACAAGAAATAACAGTTAATAGCAACTACAAGTACAAGAATATATAAAAATATTTTGAATGATTACTATTATTTTTTAAAATATATTTTATTGATTTTTTACAGAGAGGAAGAGAGAGGGATAGAGAGAAACATTGATGAGAGAGAATCATCGATCAGCTGCCTCTTGCACACCCCCTATTAGGGATGTGCCCGCAACCAAGATACATGCCCTTGACTGGAATCAAATGTGGGACCTTTCTGTCTGTAGGCCAATGCTCTATCCGCTGAGCCAAACTGGGTTTCGGCTTGAATGAATTATTTTAATCATGGCCTTCTTAAAATAATACATAGTTGATATGACAGCATAAATTTTCTACTAGATGTTTATGCCAATTAGCTATTAATGGTTAACTTATTCAGTTATATTATTCATCCTTATTTCTAACTCAAAATTTTCACTGAGATTGCATTGCATTTATTATTAATACTTGCAAGATAGAAATATTATAAATTATTTTGGTGGAATACCGTAAATGTTACTTTACTATTATTTTTTAAAGAAATACTTTTTGTGCACAGGGGTGTGTGTGTATGTCCCTTAGCCAGGCTGCACCCTCTCCAATCTGGGACCCATCGAGAAATGTCCGACTGCCTTTTTAGGACCCATCCATGTGGGATCGGGCCTAAATGGGCAGTCGGACATCCCTCTCACAATCCAGGACTGCTGGCTCCCAACTGCTCACCTGCCTGCCAGCCTGATTGCCCCTAACTGCTTCTGCCTGACAGACTTATTATCCCCAACCACTCCCCTGCCAGCCTGATTGATGCCTAACTGCTCCTCTGCCGGCCTGATTGGCCCTAACTGCCCTCCCCTGGAGGACTAGTTGCCCCTAACTACCCTCTCCTGCTGGCCCACTTGTGGTGGTCATCTTGTGTCCACATAGTGGCAGCCATCTTTGACCACATGGGGTGGCCATCTTGTGTTGGAATGATGGTCAATTTGCATATTACTCTTATTATATAGGATGAAATTTGTGCACAGTGTGGGAGGGTCCTTCAGCTCAGCCTGCACTGTCTCCAATCTGGGTTACCTCTCACAATCCAGTACTGCTGGTTCCCAACTACTCGCCTGCCTGCCTGCCTGCCTGCCTGATCACCCTCTAACTACTCCCCTGCCAGCCTGATTGATGCTTAACTGCTCCCCTACTGGCCCAAGTGCCCTTAACTGCCCTCCTCCACCAGACTGGTAACCCCTAACTGCCCTTCCCTGCTGGCCTGGTTACCCTTAACTGTCCTCCCCTATAGACCTGGTCCCCCCTAACTGCACTCCTCTGCCGGATCAGTCACCCCTAATTGCTCTCCTTTGCCAGCCTGGTCCCCCCCCACCTGCCCTTCCCTGCAGGCCTGATCCCCCCCAAATGCCCTCTGCTGCAGGCCTGGTACCCGCCAACTGCCCTTCCCAGAAGGCCTGGTCGACTCCAACTGCCTTCCCCTGCTGGCCAACTTATGGTGGCCATCTTGTGTGTTAGAGTGACAGTCCATTTGTATATTATCCTTTTATTAGATACTATTGTTGGTATACAATACTATGTTAGTTTCAGGTGTATAATATTTTTATATCTTACAATGTGATTACCTGCTAATTTTAGTAATTACCTGTCACTATACAAACTAATCACATTAATAACTATATTCCCCTTCACCTTTTTTACCTATCTCCCTAAACATCTCCTGACAACAATCCCTGTTTTTATGAGTCTGTTTTCATGGGTTTTTAAAGATTACACACATATGTAAAACCATATGGTATTTGTCTTTCTCAATTTGATCTATTCACTTGGCATAATACTCTTTAGATCTATACATGTTGTTGCAAAAGGCAAGATTTCATTTTTTTTTAAATCTTCACCCAAGGATATTTTTTCCATTTATTTCTAGAGAGTGGGAGGGAGGGAGGAAGGGGAGAGAAACATCTACATGAGAAACATCAATGTGAAAGATACATCAATTGTTTGCCTTCCTTATGAGCCCCTACTGGGGCTGGGGAACCTGCAACCTTGCCTGGGAATTGAACCTGCGGTCCTTCAGTCCACGGGCAGTTGTTTTAACCACTGATCAAACCAGCCAGGGCAGATTTCATTCTTTTTTATTGCTGTGTGATATTTCATTTTACATGTACATATATACCACATCTCCTTTATCCATTCATATATGGATAGACATGTAGGTTGCTTCCAAATCTTGGCTAATAAATGATGCATATTATCTTCTCAAATTAGTGTTTTTATTCTCTTTGGATAATAACAGCAGTGAAATTGATGGGTTTTAGAGAAGACTTAATTTTTTGAGGAATCTCCAGTCTGTTTCTATAGTGACTACACCAATTTGCAGTCCCACCAATAGTGTATAAGGATTCCCTTTTCTCCAAACCCTTGCCAAACACAGGTGATTGTTGACTTTATTTTAACTTGTGTGAGATGGTATCTCATTGTGATTTTAATTTGCATTTCCATAATTGATTAGTGATGTTGAGAATCTTTTCGTGTCCTTTGTTCATTTCTTATCATTGAGTTGTATGAGTTTAAAAGTTACTTTAACTTACAGAATATTATTACAGCACACTTGCAATCAAGTAGACAAAATCTTTTTATAACCAGCCAACCAAACAACTAATGTACTACCATGTTTCCCCGAAAATAAGACCTACTTACAGGTTTCCTTCTGAGTGAAATATCCCCCCAAAAATAAGGCCCCCCTAGGCTCTGTCTCAGAATGCTATTGCTAAACATGAGAGATTTGGTCCACTGATTCTGAAAGAAATGGAGTCACAAGAAATTCACCAGGAAATTCAGGAATTAGATTGTTATGATGATGTTCCAGATGATGACATGATTGTCATTGAATAAATGAGTAAATTCTTGATACTGTAGGATTCACAGTTTGTCTGGTTTGTGTTGAAAACTACCGTACTACCGTACTGTATACAAGTAATAAATTTCCTTTATTTTCATTTAACAATAAATATGTACAGTATTCTTCTTCATGGAAAAATAAGACATCCCCTGAAAATCAGACCTAGTGCATCTTTGGGAGCAAAAATTAATATAAGACACTGTCTTATTTTCGGGGAAACAGGGTAGCAAAAACCTGCTATCTTGCTTTTATATACCAAACTGAAAAAATGCCTGATCCTCATTGTAAGTAATTCCATTATTTTAGTTGAACAATTCTTAGCATAAACTTTCCTTCATATTAAGAATAAATTTTTTTTTAAACTTAGAAGCTACACAAATTTTTCCCCCAAAAAACTTTTTCTCAATACTTACGTGGTCACAATTACATTGTATTCTTCATATTTACTATGAATGTTATATCTTATCTGTTTACGTTCTTCTTGAGAACCTAGAATTTAAAACAACATGCATTTTGATTGTACTTACTGTACTTTACTGTATGTTAAAATATTAAAAAAATTTTAATAAAGCAAAATGACATATTCTTACCATAGTAACAGAGCACCTTCAAAGTGGGGCACCATAAATTAACTTCCCTTAACCAGTTATCTATGAAATAAGAGATATTACTTGCATCTGCTACAACAGGATATGTGTATGAAATAAAATTAACACTACAGTTTAAAAAATTTTACCCAGTAACTATTTTATAAAGTAATACAAGATGATTTTTTTTTTTTTTTTTAATTATAGGACCTTCCCAATTTTCTCCTCATGATTACAACTGTTTGAGGTGGCATCAAATAAAGGGCAGAGAACCAACCATTGTATTTATAGGTGATTAATGATTTCTAATTTAAAGAAAAATTATTTTTGGTTACATTCATACATACATTCCCTTACTCTATTCTACATTCAATCAATTGAGCAAGAATGTAAAAGTAATTTGAATACGGATGAACTGCACGGTTTCTGACACAATAAATGTTTAATTATAAATTTAAATGCACTTAATTTCTTAGTTATTCATCAAAACAATTTATAACTATTATGAAAACTAAATTTTATCAAATGGTCTTTGATCTATAATAATTGACATACATTTGAGATTTTTTTCTTTAAAATAGACTTCTAGTACATTCAAACACACACACACACACACACACACACACATACACACACACCACACTGAGACCACAGAAATAAGTATTTATCTCCACAAACTAAGAAATCAAACATACACACTTTTCTTCTCCCTATGTTAAATAGGATATAGTTAAGCCCTAGCCTGTGTGACTCAGTGGATGGAGTGTCAGCCTTCAGACTAAAGGGTCCTGGGTTTGATTCTGGTCAGGGCACATGCTTGGGCTGTAGGCTCAATCCCCCTGAGTGGGGGGCATGAAGGAGGCATCTAATCAATGATTCTCATCATTGATGTTTCTACCTCTATCCCTCTCCCTTCCTGAAATCAATAAAATATGTTTAAAAAAATAGTATACAGTCAAGTATGGTTGTCCACAACACTACAAACCTATAGTTGACGCAGGAACAACGATCAAATGAGGACCTTTATTACCCTCCTGATAGAGGTATGCCAGAAATGCAATGGCTTGAATAGTTTTTCCTAGGCCCTAAAATTCAAAAGACAATATATGAAATGTAAAGATAAACAAACAAACAAAACAAAAAACCCAAATAAATACTGGAAAATGCAAAAGAAAAAATATATTCCTGGTTTTGATTCCCTATATTACAATACTATGAGAATTTCTACTAGGTTCTCAGTTCGTAATGAGATAAAAGAAACAAATATCCAAGGGAAATTATAACTTAGTTTAATGTGCAAGATGTATCCTAACTCCTAGTTAATATATGACATACATTAATATGGAAGACCTTTGTAGTTAGTGCATATAAAAGATATAACTTTGGTTAACTATTTATATAAAGCAAACATTTAATACACACTAGATAGACTAAGGAAATATTCTAATGACTAATTAAATATATAACCTACTACTCAACAATTCCACTCCCAAGACTATATTCAGGATATATGAGAGAATATTTCCACAAAAAGACCTGGGTAAGAACGTTCATACTAGTTTTATTATAAGAGCCAAACACTGAAAATAACTTAATGCCCATCAACATGAGAATAAACATGTTATAGCATACTTATACTATGGACTTCTATATGCCAATATAGTAGCTGATACATGTAAATACTCAAATGAATCTCAGTAACTTTGTACCAAAAGAACCAGATATAAGCAATATAATACCACATGGTTCTATTTATATAAAGTTCAAAATCAGAAAAGACTGATATGGTGATAGGCATCCAAATGGTGATGGTAATAAAGGAACTTTCCGAGATGATAAAAATGTTGATCTGGGAGGTGATCACACAGGGATACATACATGTAAAAATTCACTAAGGTGAGCATTTGCATGCTTTATTGCAGCTAAATTACATATCAACTAGAGGCCCGATGCATGAAATTCGTGCACAGGGGAGGGGGTTGTGGGATGTCTCTCAGCCCAGTTTGCACCCTCTCTAATCTGGAACCCCTTGAGGGATGTCCGACTGCCCGTTTAGGCCCAATCCTAGCAGTCAAGATATATCCCTCTCACAATCCAGGATTGCTGGCTACCAACTGCTTGCCTTCCTTCCTGATTGCCACTAACCACTTCTGCCTGTCAACCTGATCACCCCCTAACCACTCCCATGCCAGCCTGATTGATGTCTAACTGCTCCCCTGCCAGCCTGTTTGCTTCTAACTTCTCTCCTCTGCTAGCCTGGTCACCCCTAACTGCCCTCCCCTGCAGGGTTGATCACCTCCATCTGCCCTCCCTTGCAGGCCTGGTCCCTCCCAACTGCCCTCCTCTGATGGCCATCTTGTCTCCATCTGGGGGCATGATCTTTGTCCACGTGGGGGCAGCCATCTTGTGTGATGGGAGTGATGGTCAATCTGCATATTACTTTTATTAGATAGGATAGAGGCCTGATGCATGGGTGGTGCCCTGAAGGGTGTCCCGGATCAGGATGGGGTTTCGTTGGGGTGTGGGGAAGCCTTGGGTGAGGGGCTTGTGGTCATCCTTCACTAACACCCCTGTTGGCCTAGTTGTAGACAGCCATCTGTGAGGGTGTGAGTTAATTTGCATATAACTTCTTTATTATATAGGAGTTTAAAGTGTTAGTTTTTTTAAAAAAGGTATTGAAAATGTGTAGCTCCTCAGGGGAAAAAGACATTATCATCTATTAACTGAAATCTCCCTTTCCTCCCTCCCACTTGGGATTCATATGTTGAAATCCTAACCTCTGGTGTAACTGACTATATTTCAAGATAGGATCATTAAGGTTAAATAAGGTCATAAAGGTAGGGCCCAAACCTCTCTTAAAAGAACAGAAAGAGAACTCTGGCCAATATGGCTCAGTTGTTTGAAGTCTCATCCTGTATATTGAAAGATAGCAGGTTCAGTTCCCAGTTGGGCATGAAAGGAGGGCAACCAATTGATTTCTCTCTCACATTGATGTTTCTCTTTCTCTCCCCCTTTTTCTAAAAATAAATAGGCATATCCTTTGTTGAGGATTTTTAAAAAGAGAGAGACAGACAGAGAAAGACAAAGAGACACCAAGGATATATGCATATGGAGAAAAGGCCATATGAGGGCACAACAAAAAAGTGGCTAACTACAAACCAAACAAAGTGGCCTTAGGAGAAACCAAACATGCTACACCTTGATCTTAAGACTTCCAACCTCCAAAACTATGAGAAATAAATTTCTGTTCTATAAGCCATGCAGCTTTTGATATTGTTGTGGTACCCCAACAGACTAAGACACTAACTTGTCACAAATATTGTCCTTTACAAGTTACAAAAACTGGTTCACATAATAAACCTCATTTGATATCAAATATAAGATTTTGTAACATAAAAATTACTACATTTATTAATGTTGGCTCTGAGAGATTAGATCATTGATAAAGACCAAATGACTTAAGAAAGGCAAAGTTGTGATTCAAAACCCAGAATGACTGCTCAAATGCAGTTTTTTCCACAACTGTAATGTGCTATATTCTATATCTAACTGCTATACATATTTTGAAATCCTGCATATATTATTCATTTTTCTATCAGGTAAATAGCTAGAGAGTATCTTTGCTTTAAAATCACATGTGTATAGAAATAGTGGAAGCCCTCAAAATTACTAGAATGTAATTAGAGAACAAAGATCACTATCCTTGTTCTTTTTTATTTTGGAAATCTAATACACAATGCAATATATATATATATATTTAATAAATATTTTCTCCACAGATCATGACTTGTTTTTAATAAAAACTTTGGAAAAAAGTATAGCTGGAGGAAGAAGGTAAGGCTAAAAAGCAAGTTTCTATGCAATAGTACCTGGACTATTGACTGTAATAAACTGTCCAAGTTCAAGCAAATGTGATTTGGGAAAGTACAAAAACTCAGACACATCTAGTAAAATAGTGGAAATGATGTTGATGCAGTTCTGATAAATGCATGAATTTATTTACTAACAAGGTCAGGTATCTATGATACATTTTAATTTTAAAGGCAGCTATGGAAAAGCGCATACAGTACAATCTTATTCATTAGTTTGATAATCAGATAGACAATAAATCCATATTCATTTGGGGTTGGGGTAGGAAGGAGGCTACAGCTAAGACAAGCAATAGAAAACCAGGAGGGGCTCAAAGGGATATAGATACTGAAGTGAGGGAAGTAAACTACAGTTAAGGGGAAAATTTTCTTTTTTTTTTAATGACAGCAAGGATGTCTTTTAATGAAAAATCCTAGAAATAGTTATTACTTACCATTTCATCTGCCAAAATGCCATTGAGTCCATGTTTATGTACCAATGCCAACCAATTCAAACCAACCTTCTGATAGGGCTTGAGTGATAAACTGATAAAGAGAGAGTTACCAAGTGTTATACATTTATACTTCCATTAGTTTTTCTCACATGAGATTTAGGTTTACAATGCACACAAAAACTGAAATACTAGATCTAATCTTACCTTTTAATTTACTGTTATGAACTATATATATGTACTTAAAAATCAATACAAAATATAATGGTTTTTTTCTGTCTTGTCAAATTTTATTCTGTATTTGTTGATTTATTTCTTCTGGCAATAAGAATTAAAAAAACATTCTCATATTTGGTTATAATGTAATGTCAACAAATTAACTAAATAACTGCAATATTAACTATAGTAACATTTCTAAGTTAATGTTTATATTAAAAAATGGTATCGTACTGATTAGAATTTTAGTACATTAAGAAACTTAAAAGTATGAAGACAAAAATGCATGAGCATAATTTGTCTAGTTCACTTATAAGCCTTTTCTAATTCTCATTAGGACAGCATACAACACATCTAACATGAAAACCTAGAACAAGGCCATGCCCCCCCATTCTTCAGCTTTTTATCCTGTCCTCTTAATTTCCTGTTATACACATTTTATCACATGAAAAAGCTATGGACATAAGTATGGCAAAATATATAATTAATGGGTAGATTCTGAAATCAAGATACCACTACTAGAAAAGGTAAAAGACATAGGATAGAATGATAGCCTTCTTAAATCAGAATCTGTTTCAACAGTGGGGATTACATCCATAAAACATTTTTTATTTGAAAAAAAATTAAAAGTATACGCAGGGGGAAAAATCAGCAGTATTGCTAAAATCTTTTTTTTTTTTAATATATTTTACTGATTTTGTACAGAGAGGAAGGGAGAGAGATAGAGAGATAGAAACATCGATGAGAAAGGGTCATCGATCAGCTGCCTCTTGCACACCCCCTACTGGGGATATGCCCGCAAACAAGGTACATGCCCTTGACCGGAATCGAACCCGGGACCTTTCAGTCCCCAAGCCGACGCTATCCATTGAGCCAAACCGGTTTCGGCTAAAATCTTTATAGTTCATTTTAAAGTTCATTATTTTTTGGACAAAACATTTTTCCTTTGCTGCTCACTACAAAAGTAATAATAAATACAACATATCATAGATATTTTAACTTCCAGATCCAAATGAATTCTTTCTACTACAGTAATGATGAGAAAAAGTTCCAGTAATCGAATGTTCACAATATTTCAGACACTTGGCTATGGGTCTTCATGTGCATTATTACTTCATTTCATCTACATTATAAAGTAGGTGCTATTATCTATCATCTCTATTTCCCAGATGAGAAGTTCTCTGGAACTCAGAGAGGTAACTTGTCCAATGTCATGTAGCTAACAAAACCCGTGTGTGCAGTGCCAGAGCCAGTATCCACTCTAGGACCGATCCAATGCTCAGCTCCTAACCATTAAACAGCAAACATAAAAGAGTTTTCTTCCTCTCTCACTCCGAACCTCCCCCTGTTCCCCCGACTCTATGGTCAAAACTGAGGCATGAAGTTATTTCTGAATCATTCACAATGCTTAAATCATCCTATACACATGCCATGAAAGTGATGAAACGTGATGAGGTCAGCACACTACTTCACTTATAAATGTATTCAAAGGTAAACATGCTACTCCAATGTAAATCACAAAGAGCCAAAAAATGCTCTTAACAAGTAAAAGTTATTGAATTTCTTCATTATCAACCCATGCTGAGAAACAAGTCTATTAAAATATTTTTCACTACACATAAAACTTTAAAAAATGATGAGGAAATTTAAAAATATACTACATAAAATTTTTCATTTCAATAAAACTTTTTCATCCACAATCACAATGCAGTTCCGATAGCTGCTTTGATTAGGACATTAACTACTTTTGAAAAGAACACAGTAGAAAGAATCAACAGTAGACTAGAAGAAGCAGAGGACTGCATCAGTGAGCTAGAAGAAGGATTACTCAAGCAGAACAGAAACTGGGGAAAAAACAAACCCTTAAAAACAAAAATGGGCTTAAGGGAACTTTGGGACAACATAAAACAAAACAACATCTAAATAATAGGGGTCCCAGAAGGAGAGGAAACTTATCAAGGAATAAAAAACTTGTTTGAAGAAATAATGACAGAAAATTTCCCTGATATTGGGAAGTAGAAAAAACTCACATAAATACAAGAAGCTAACAGAGTCCCAAACAAGACCAACTCAAAAAGACTGACACCAAGACACATTATAATTAAAGTATAGGCCCAGTGCACAAATTCAGGCATGAGTGGAGATTGGGCCAATCAGGAAAGAACGAAACTGGGCCTGTTGGGAGGAGAAAACAGGGAGAGAATGGCTGGCCAGCTTGGGGGAGGGGCTGCTGGTGACTGGTTGGGCAGGCCGGATCAGCCTCCAACCCTAACTCCCTTTGGGGTTGGAGGCTGATTGGGGTGGTGTTGGCTGTGGGTGGTGGGCTGTCAGCCCCACCCCTGTGTGGGCGGCCAATCGAGGGGATCTGGCTGAGGGAAGAGGCCTGGGGTCAATTGGGGTGGTGGGAGCTGATCGGGGTGGAGAAGGCTGGGAGGGAGGGGGCTGCAGGCAGTTGTCCAATTATGTTCAATTAATATTTGACAAAGAAGGCAAGGGCATACAATGGTGCTTTGTCAATTAATATTTGACAAAGAAGGAAAGAGCATCAATAAATGGTACTGGGAATTTTCGTCAAATATCAATACATGCAAAAAAAGGAAGAAAAAAAACTAGATCACCAACTTGCACCATACACAAAAATAGATTAAAAATGGCTAAAGGGCCGAAACCGGTTTGGCTCAGTGGTAGAGCGTCGGTCTGCGGACTGAAAGGTCCCAGGTTCGATTCTGGCAAGGGCATGTACCTTGGTTGCAGGTACATCCCCGGTAGGGGGTGTGCAAGAGGCAACTGATCGATGTTTCTCTCTCATCGATGTTTCTAGCTCTCTATCTCTCTCCCTTCCTCTCTGTAAAAAAACCAATAAAATATATATTTTTTTAAAAATGGCTAAAGGACTTAAATGTAAGATGGGAAACCATAAAAATTCTACAAGACTCCATAGGCAGCAAAGTAGCAGACATATCATAAGTAGCAATATTTTTACAAACACAGCTCCAAGGCAATGGAGACTAAGGAGAAAATAAACAAATGGGAATACATTAAAATAAAAAGCTTCTGCACAGCAAAAGAAACCATCAACAAAACAACTGCATGGTTGAACATATTTTCAATGACATTTCAGATAAGGGTTCATTCTCCAAAATTTACAGAGAACTCATACAACTTAACAAAAAGAAGACAAATGATCCAGTCAAAAAATGGGCAAAGGACCTAATACACATTTTTTGAAAGCGGACATACAGAAGGCCCACAGACATGAAAACATGCTCAAAGTCACTAATCATCCAAGAGACGAAAAAATCAAAACAATGAGCTACCATCTCACACCTGTCAGAATGGCTATCAGCAACAAATCAACAAAAACAAGTGCTGGCGAGGGTGTGGAGAAAAAGGAACTCTCGTGCACTGCTGGTGGGAATGCAGACTGGTGCAGCCACTGTGGAAGACAGTATGAAGTTTTCTCAAAAAGTTAAAAATGGAACTCCCATATGACCTAATGGTCCCACTTCTAGGATTATATCCCAAGAAACCAGAAACACCAATCAGAAATGATATATGTACCCCCTATATACATAGTAGCACAATTTATAATAGCTAAGACTTAGAAACAGTCTAAATGCCCATCAGCAGATGAGTGGATTTAAAAACTGTGGTATATCTACTAGTACACAATGGAATACTACGCTGCTATAAAAAAGAAGGAACTTGTACCATTTGCAACAACATGGATGGAACTGAAGAACATTATGCTAAGCAAAATAAGCCAGTCAGATAAAGATAAATATCACATGATCTCACTCATTTGTGGGATATAATGATCAGCATAATTTGATGAATAGGAATAGATCCAGAGATAAATGGTGTGGGTGGGGTTGGGGGGTTAGAGAGCAACCGAAGGGTTTGTATGCATGCATTATTAATATAACCAGTGGACACAGACGCTGGGGTAGTGGGGGCTTGCCCAGGGTGGGAATGGCTGGAGTGGAAATGGTCAATTAGGGAAAAAGGAGACATACATAAAACTTTAGACAATTAAAAAAGAAAAAAAAGGTAAGAATTAGAAACAACAGGAGTATATACAATGTGTTAAATCTGAGTTTAAAATACAGAAAAATACAGGGCTACAGAGCCTGGTTTGAAGTAGTTCATATGAAACAGATTAAGGATGTTAATTGACCAAAGTTTTATGTCCCATGAATGTAACAGCACTGCCGAAATACTGCCACAACATTGGTGTGTATCCAAACTACTAAAATATCTGCATCAACATGGTATTTTGAGTTAGTCAAACCACACCTACAATATAGATTTGCATTCATACCACTGTCAAATGGTTTCATAGCAACTGTGTAGGAATAGGACAGAGAACCATTCTGTCAAGTTGAGGGAGAACAAAATCAAAAGAATTTTGTTAAATTTAGCCCAGAAAGACAGGACACATTTTATATTAAACATTGATAAATCTCTTCAGTTAAAACAGTTTAATGAATTTTAGATAAACAGATGGCTACATATCTATGATAAGAATAAAAAAGAGGATATACTGAGTTTTTTATCTTTTTTCTCTCATATATTTTAACTTTAGGCTATTTTAGTTTTGACATTTTAAGATAAAGATTATGAATGCAGTGATTTTGATATACATATGAAAAATCTTATTTTTCCCTGCAAAGATCTTGATTTTAATGAGGAGTTATGGTATGTCTGTATTTCCTTGATCTCTAAAAGTCATTTTCCATCTTATATAATTCATATAAACTTGTAATAGGAAAATAAACACAATATATTTTTGCTTCAAAGTAAACTTCACTACAGAGATTTTGTTCTGTTAAGAAAGAGCATGGCAGCTTATTCATCAGCACAGTCTAACATTTTCTTTTGTGCTAATAAATCCTTTCCAGAGGCAAAGACTACTTCTTAATGCCTGGCTAGTGTAACAAGTAAAATTGCTTGTCCAATTCCTACCTTGGCTAAAAACAAAAACCAAGACAACAAATTTCACCCCCTAAAAGTGCATTTATAAATAATCTATAGAGAATATCTATAAAGGTTTTTAGAAGTTGTACCTTGGACTAGATCCAATAAAAAAAAAACACCTTTTTTTAAAAACTACTTTTATCATCTATTAAATATTCCATTAAAAATCCTCAGTCTAATGGAAAGGGCAATTTATTACCTGATCATAGTATTTACAAACAATAGGACTTTGTAAATGTGGATTTAAGAAAAAAAAATTTTAAGTGATGCAATAAAGCACTTGATTTTTAAAACTCCAAATTATGATAAAGTAGACTCAACTGGGCAAGTCTTGTAGAGTGAAGAACTCCCCATATCCAATGCTGTAGAACAAGAAGGACCAGCTCCAACTACACTTTTAGGAGATGAATTTGCTGACTTGACCATAGTTCTTTCTATGCAACAGAGAAAAGAGCTTCTTTGTGGGAACTGCATCACGTTTCCCTACACACCATCCCATAGCACCCTAGAAGGTCACAGAAAAGATTGTAGCTTACTATTAAAGGCCAGTAACCACACCTTGACTTTTAATTAACCAGAGATCAGCAAATATGCTTTGATCATGAACATAGAACACTACAAAAAGAAGTAAATAAAATCACCAATTAAGGTAATTAATTTTAAGGAGATCCTAGTCTTCTTCTTTTTTTTTTTTAAATCCTCACTCCATGATATGTTTATTGATTTGAGAGAGGTATAGGGGAGAAACATTGATCAGTTGATTCCCATACACACCTCAACCAGGGATTGAACCTGCAACTTGGGTATGTGTCCTAACTGGGAATCAAACCTGCAACATTTTTGGTGTACAGGATGACATTCCAATCAACTGAGCCAACTGATCAGGGCCCTAGTGCTCATCTTATTTAAATACCTATCAGAAATATACTGAACAGATGTACCTCATAATTCATTCTAACTACTATTCTCTGATTTTTGGAACTTAAAGATTGTTTTTATGTTTTTGCCGCCTATAAATATCATCACAGTAAATAATTTTGCACATTTTTAAAAAAGGGAAATATTCTGAACATTCTGAGTTCCCGAACCACTCACTTAAAATTAGGGTTTAGTTTTTGCAAGAATTGTAACAAGGTATTTACTAAGAGTTAACAGTTTGGGGGAACAATCTTTCCTTATATAATTTATTTAATAAAAGTGCCCTTTCCATTTTTTATGTTGTTCTACCCTAAAAATAATTACAAATCTGGGCTATTGAAAGCATTTAAAATATATAAAATAGATACAGGATATTTTAACCATTTCATTTTATTTATAATTAAAAATAGGCCCTGGCTGAATAGCTCAGTTGGTTAAGTCATCCAGATACACCAAATTTATGTGCCAGGTCAGGGCACATATAAGACTCAATCAATAAAGAGGAAGTATGCCAATTTCCCGTCACACCGTAAATACCCATAACCACAAGATGGCGGTGTCCAGCCCCCTTAGCCCTCCTCTCCGCAGTCCTTTCAATCCTGTGTGTGTGTGTGTGTGTGTGTGTGTGTGTAGAGGGTGGCAAATAGGCACTGCAGCCGGGCCCACCCTAAGCCCCCCAACCACCCAGGGCTAGCCCAAGGTGCAGGCAAGCCTTAGATGGTAGCGACCCAGGGCTGCCCGAGGCTCAGGTAACCAGGGCTGGCTAAGGCTTGAACTTAGGCAGTGGCAGCAGCAGAGGTGTGATGGGAGCATCACCTTCCCCTGATCACTGGTTGCCTTCCGCCCCTGAGGACTCCTGGACTGTGAGTGGGGGCAGGCCGACTGAGGGACCTCCCTCGCAATGCATGAATTTTCATGCACTGGGTCTCTAGTAAATGCGTAATAACTAAGTGGAACAACAGATCAGTGTGTCTCCCTCTCTCTTTATCTCTCATTCTAAAAATTAAAAAAATAAAGACATTAAGCTAATACAGGAATTTTTACATTGATGCAATTAAGCAGCTGATTTTTTAAAATATTAAATTATGGAAAAAGCATATCTAAAACCACCTTTTCAGTGTCTGTGATTTAGAAATTATCTGTATATGTAATCAGACAAGAAAACCTAGGTCACATAAGACCATGATATTTCCTCTAATTTATGGTATGATGGAGTAAAATATCCTAATTAGGGGAAGGAGGAAAGTCAATGGAAAGCAAATCACATAGGTGTATGTGCCATCTAAAAAACTTTGGGCTTCCCTTTAACATTATTAATTTTCATATCACTTCCACATTTAAGTTCCCTAGGCATATTACAGAAATAAATTTAGAAATTGTATACAACTGTAGTGAAATAATGAATAGGTGTGTACAACAAATATTACCTTTGATTCAAAATAGAGGGTTGTTCTGTGTTCCATCCACCTCCATTTCCAGTGAGCATGGTAACTTGTTTCGTCAATTTATTTGAAATGTCTTCACATTTGTTCATAAGCCTTATAACTACATCTCTTTCTTGGATCAATGTTTTACAGTGCCATATCAAATCTTCTGATAAGCCGTTAGTTTTGGACATCTTTGTGAACTATGGCATAAAAAGGAAACAAGTTAACAGTTCAGATCTAGTAAACAGAAAGTCGGTAACATTTTCTTTCTTTTAAGGAAACAAATTTAATTTAAAAATTTACTAATGACCTTAATCAAATGCTAAGAAAACCTGATTCTTCATATTTACATTTATATTTATATTTCACTTTGACAATCCTGTAACCTCAAACTTAGCACACTGACATACAATATCTTTCTCCCCAGAATGCACAATTCCATACTTATAACTGTGACCATAGTAGCTGTTTTCTTATAATGTCTCAAGTTTTGTCTTTAAAATCTCAGATTCACCTTTATTACCAAAGGTAATAACACCAAATGTAATAACTGCATACCTGATCTCTAGCCATTTTCCCCCCTTCCTATGACTATGACATATTACAATAGTAAATGATTAATCTTCCTAAAACATATTTTCTCCTATTTATCATCAGTACAATCTCTAAACTTTTAAAACTCCAATTATTTGGAGAGATCCAAGATGGCTGCGCCCAGATGAACACCTAGCCGCAGCCGCACACAACAATTTCAATAAAATACAACTATTATAAAATATAAAACAGACATTGCCCAGAACTACAGGATGGTTGACTGACTGGAAATTCTACAGCGAGAAGCAAGGAGAAAACCAGAAGGAGGCGCGGAGGAGCTGGAAAAGCACAAGGTTCGGCGACACGGCGCGCGGAGAGGACGGAGCCAGAGAGGAGGGGGAGGCGGAGTGCCTGGCGGGCGTTCCCTAGCGGAAAGGAGATAAAACTCCGACTGTGCTGGGCCCCCGACTGCTCTGAACCCCAGTTCTAGGCCAGACCCTGGGGACTCAGGCTCAGCCATAGGGAGCTGGGCTGTGAGGCGGAATCCCGGGGGAGCAGCGAAAGGAGTTCCCGGAGGTGCGCACAGTGCGCGCAGAGAAGGGACGGTCGGCTGTGCCGCGGGATTGCCCTGATGGGAAGGAGACTGGGGCTCCAGATTGCTCTGAACGCCACCTCCAACTCCACTTCCAACTGAACTGAACCCCAATACCGGGCTCATTGGGGGAGAGCATAGACTGTTTGGCAGCGGGCGAAAATCGAGGGCACCTTTCTCTCAGAGGCGCCAGCAGCAAGCACTGAAGGACCCTCATAGGGAGGGGCTGACGGAAGCCAAAGCTGCAGGCTCCACCTTGAAACCCCGTCCCATCTGTAACTGCTTAGTGCGACAACGAAATAGCTCACAAACAAAAGAAATGGAGGACAAAAAGCGTCTGGATATAGAGTTCAAATCTACGCTTATAAGGATTTTCAAGAATTTCTTAGAAAAGATGGATAAGACCTATGAGGATATGAAAAGAGATCAACTAGAATTAATAAGGAGTCATCAAGAAATGATAAGGGATCAACAAGAAATAAAGAATACATTGTCTGAAATAAAAAATATTTTACAGAGTCCTAAAAACAGAAGGGAAGATCGCAAGAATCAAGTCAAAGATTTGGAACATAAAGAGCCAGAAGACACTCCTCCACAGAAGCTAGAAGGCAAGAGAATCCAGAAAATTGAAGATAATGTAAGAAACCTCTGGGACAACTTCAAGCGAACCAACATCAGAAATATGGGGGTCCCAGAAGATGAGAGAGAGCAAGATATCGAAAACATACTGAAAGAAATAGTGACAGAAAACTTCCCCCACCTGGTGAAAGAATTAGACTTACAAGTCCAGGAAGCGCACAGAACTCCAAACAAAAGGAATCCAAAGAGGACCACACCAAGACACATCATAATTAAAATTCCAAGAGCAAAAAACAAAGAGAGAATATTAAAAGCAAGAGCAAAGAAGGTAGTTACCTATAAAGGAGCACCTATACGATTGTCAGCTGACTTCTCAACAGAAACCATGCAGGCCAGAAGGGAATGGCAAGAAATATTCAAGGTGATGAATAGTAAGAACCTATAGCCAAAGATAATCTATCCAGCAAAGCTATCACTCAGAATCAAAGGTCAGATAAAGAGCTTCACTAATAAAAAAAAAAGCTAAAGGAGTTCATCAACACCAAACCAGAATTATAAGAATTGCTGAAGGGGATTCTTTCAGAAGAGAAAGTAAACAAAGATAAAAATTATGAGCAACAAATACGTAACTATCAACAAGTGAATCTAAAAACCAAGGAAATTAAAAAAAAATCTGATGAGCAATAGTAACTGTTGAATATAATAGAATCAGAGGTATGGAAGGGGAGTGAACTGACGATTCTTGGGGAAAAGGGGAGAAGGGGGCGTGGGAAGAGACTGAACATAAACTGTGCACCTATGGATGAGGACAATGGTGAGTGGGGAAAGGGCAGAGGGTGGGGTGGAAACCTGGTGGAGGAGAGCAATGGTGGTGGTGGGGGGAAGGAACATTTGTAATAATATAAACAATAAAAACTTATTTAAAAAACAAAACAAAACAAAAAAAACCCTCCAATTATTTGTTGTCACTTGATATTCCACTCTTAAGCTTAGATTATTAATTGGAAAGATAATGCATGAATCAAAAGTTAACTATGACTGCCAAAACTGGTTTGGCTCAGTGAATAGAGTGTTGGCCTGTGGACTGAAATGTCCCAGGTTAGATTCTGGTCAAGGACATGTACCTTGGTTGTAGGCACATCCCCAGTGGGGGGTGTGCAGGAGGCAGCTGATCATTGTTTCTATCTCATTGATGTTTCTAACTCTGTATCCCTCTCCCTTACTCTCTATAGAAAATCAATAAGATATATTTTTTTTTAAAAATTAACTATGACCAATTCAATAATTTGATAGATTTTCCAAAAATTAATTTTAATACACCTGTTTTAGTAAGAATTTCTTTTAAAATGTATTTCTACTTATTTTTCTAAAGGACACAATGAATACTGCATAATATAAAAGCTATAATAGAATTAAAAATTTTCCAAATAGGTAGTTGAAAATATATATGCTGAAAAACATTAGAAAAATCCTTAGTGAAAGGATTAGAAAGCTAACTAGCTATCTGAAAGCTAGTTGGGCAAAAAGAAAAAAGTCCACAATCCAGAATGGAATACAGAAAATTAAGTAAAATCATCTGTTAGAATAGAACCACACATGATTTTGATTCATGTCTATCTTATTTAGCATATTCTTTCATATTATGAATTACATTAACAATTCTAAATAATCTTTATGAATTTATTTCTAAATTCACAGAGAATCTCAAGCAATAGAGATTAAATGTTTGTATGATATACTAAGATAATTTCATAAAAATGCAGTTTATAAAAATATACGTTTTTCATATCTAACCTAGAATAAGTTGGCAAGGAAGAAAATCTCTAATCTGTTTGAAAACCAATGTACTGCAGAGTTAAAAATAAAAATTGATCATTTCACAAAATGGCATTGTGAAATATAAAGTTATTTGCACACTACTATACATTTTCACAAGGAAAACATTCATAATCACAATGTGACCTCCCACTCTCTGCTTTCCAGAGAAAAGCAGGATATATTAGAATCAGTGACTTGAAGATTTTAAGGGGGTTCCATCAGAACAAAAAACCATCTCATGCCTACTGTAGTATGTGTGTGTGTTTGTGAAAGAACCAACACAAATAACTATGAAATACAGAAAGAACATGTATTCTGTACTTTTTATGTGCTATAAACTACTAGATGTCTTTTATTCTCTAACATTAAGTCCTCATGGCAATTACAAGATCAGACTACCAATTCTGGATCAATAACGTGAAGCTTCAATTTTTAAGGTGACAAAGATAAGAGATTCTAAAATCCATGTTCTTTTCTGTTCACTATAACTAGTACCTTCCTAAATAAAATTTAAGACCTTATAGTTAAACAAAAAATTTTTAAACTATAACCAACTACCATTTATTATAGCAAGTACTACCCTGATTGGTGAAGGTACCTGGTATGTAGACACAGTCCCTGTCCTCATATGGTTTATGGTCATCAGAAAAGACATGCAACAAATAATTTTAAGTGTTAACAAGTGGTATTATAAGGGAGACAACAAATTTAATGGGCACTTTTATACTCTGGTTTCTCTTCAGATCGCATAAATCTTTCGCCTTTTAATGGGCACTTTTTTCACAAGAAGACTAATCAAATTTAGAATCTAGGAAGTCCTTTCAGAGTAATAAGCTCAGAAATAAGAACCATTTTGATTCACAGAAGATCAATTCATTAGGACAGAACCTAGAGAAGTAAGAGATAAGCTAACATTACAAAAAAGGAACAACCAGACACTAGTGTCTCCCGATGAAACAACACAACACCAACCTTGTAATAGTGCTGATGGGAGCATGTAACCTTTCAGTTTTAGCTTCACAGAAATTCACTGGTTCAGAAAAACATGTTTGTTTAACATGTTTGTGCTAAACTATACCAGAGAGGTTTAACCAGAAGTCTAGGAAGTTATAGAACAAATGATCCAGTTTTTTTTTTTCCACCAAAGATACTACAGGAAAAGAGATAGGTGGATAAAGAACCTACAGATTAAAATAGTTACAAAGGCCTATCAAACAAGCTCAGTATGTGAATCTTATTTGGAACCTAATTCTAACTAACTCTAAAAAAATAAACAAAAAATATTTATAACATTTATGAAATAGTAATTTGAACATTTGAATGGGTATTTTCTAATATTAAGGAATTATTGATGACATTAGGTGTGACAATGTTACTATGGTTTTAAGGGATAAAAAACTTTTTTGAGTATGCATTTGAATTTTTAGGAATACAAACTGAATTCTGAAATCTTTTTACACATAGTAAGAGATGGAATATAGATAAATAAGATCAGACATCAGCTGGTAACTGAAGCTTGTGGTGAACACATGGGAGGTTCATTATACTATTCTAATTTTTATGTTTGAAATTCGCGTATGGCATTGAAGTTCAACAGTCGAAGTTTCCCACTATTCCTCCCCTAATCCCATACAAGCCAACCAACATTAGAGATGATCCAAATTACTGCTGCTAGTT